GTCCCCCTTCCCAAATCTTCCAGCTGCTGTAAAGAATGCCTTGCTGACTTTCTTCCCCTCCCACACGAACAGCCTTGCATTTCCTGTTGGCTCTCATTCTCCTTGGTAGAAATCACATGTGCATGACATGCCAAAGCCCAGGGAGCAGCATTCTAATTTGTCCTAAGCAGTTGAGTTGGCTTTCTCTTAGAAGCAGCATGATTCTTGGGACGGTTCTTCAGTCAAGTAGCTTTGGCAAAGAGAAGGATAAGCAGCTGCCTTTCTTTTGTGAGAAGGCCCATGAACCAACTCGATCTGATTTGAGAGGTATATTTGAAAACTGTATCCTTTTCTGTCCGTACTGAGGATTTATTATTTCAGATTCTTAAAAAGATAAACTGTATTTTGTTTGATGGCTGCATGGTGATGTTTGGGGATGCTTACAATCTGCTTCTCTGTGATTTTTTTGTTGTTGAGATGAAAAGTAATTCCATGAACAGTTTTGCAGAGAGTTTGAGGAAGCATTTCAGGAATAGAATCCAATAAGTATCAATCTTTTCACTCTTTACAATAATCTGTGCCTTGGTAACACAGCTAATAATTAGATTGCTGCTTGATTGTGGGATTGATGTGCTGTAGTGGGTCAATAATTCCTTCATACTGCTGACTGAATTGTATTTTGCATTTGGGTTCTGTTACTACCATACCATAATGCAAGGGAACTACCCAAAGATGGGAAGGATCTGTGTACATTTATGAAAATAACAAGCAGCTATAGTTTATATTTAAATGATAGCATCCTATAGAACCTGAACTAGAAAATTTATGACGGTATGTTCTTCTATGCACCTGTAGAGTTCTTCAAATGCACAGCAGTTTAGTCTGAATCAAAGGTATATATGATAGAATACATGACTGGAAGTGGAATTGTAGAGGTTAATAGCAGAAGGAAATAAAAGGCAAAAGGGAAACGTGCTATCGTGATTTTTTCATTTTTCCTTCAGATTTCATTGTCTACAAATTCTGCCTAGTTGTGTGCATTATTAAGGTATAGATAATGTTGTGGTGTTATTAAGTTATCAATAACGATAAAATAGTGAAGAGTAGAGACATCACACTGGCAACGAAGATCCGCATAGTTAAAGCAGTTGTATTCCCCGTAGTCACCTACAGATGTGAGAGCTGGACCATAGGGAAGGTTGAGCGAAGGAAGATAGATGCTTTTGAACTGTGGTGCTGGAGGAAAGTTCTGAGAGTGCCTTGGACTGCGAGAAGATCCAACCAGTCTATACTTCAGGAAATAAAGCCCGACTGCTCATTGGAGGGAAGGATAGTAGAGGCAAAGATGAAGTACTTTGGCCACATCATGAGAAGAAAGGAAAGCTTAGAGAAGACAATGATGCTGGGGAAAATGGAAGGAAAAAGGAAGAGGGGCTGACCAAGGGCAAGATGGATGGATGGTATCCTTGAAGTGACTGGATTGACCTTGAAGGAGCTGGGGGTGCTGATGGCTGACAGGGAGCTCTGGCGTAGGCTGGTCCATGAGGTCACGAAGAGATGGAAACGACTGAACGAATGAACAACAACATTGTAGTCCACAGAAATGCATATTGTTACCAATGTGTTCGTTGTTAAGGGACTATAAGGCTCTTTTGGATACCTTTGTGTTTCAAGTTACAGGAGTGCATGAGTGGAGGGAGGAACACATTAAATTTTGCGTGGGATAGTATTTTCTCATATGTTATGGAGAAATATCTTAAAAGAGAATTGTCATCTTTAAACATGAGTTCAGATTCTGAATTGTTGATCGGTATCAACTCTCTCTTGTAACTTCCTGCTGTAGTGCCTGTGGGAGATTTCAAAGATGTAGTCAGTCAAAACAGTAATTGTTTACTTTGAGCAGTAAAAATTAGCTTTCAGAAAATATGTCCAGCATCATGAAAAGGCTTGAATGATCTTAACAGGAATGAGGAAGTGCCAATGCAGAGTCCTCAGCCATAGAAATATTGATAGGGTTAAAGTTCTGCCTCTTGTAACAGATCTGTATAAATGCAAAATGTCTCTTACTACAGCCAGTCCTGCTAATGTATAGAAATTTACAGAAAGTTAGATACAACAGCTCCAGATTCAATTACACAGTTTGATTTTATGGATCTAAAAGACTTCCTCCAACAACAGTAGGAAGAAATAATGGGAGAAACTTAGTTCCCTGCTTAATTAAGTCTGCCTTCACAGTGTCTGTCAGGAATACAGTAGAGTCTGCATGTCCTGACCAATGTAATAGGCAATTGCAGCAATTTTCTGCTTGCACAAGACTGAGAAATGTAGGATAGCAGTTAAATAAATAACAAAGCAAACAAACATATGCTATCAAAATGTCTCTGCCATTGGAAACATAGATGGCCATAAACCCACTTCTAGTTTTGAAAAACATTTTAAAAAACACATTGTACAACTTATATAAATTGTTCTGCTCCTCTTGGAGATTTCTACAAGAGGCACCTCACTTAGATCTGGGGTGTCAAACTCATTTCTGTTGAGAGCCAAATCAATCTTAAGGTTGCCTTCAAAGAACCACTGAATTAATGAACATAAAATCCATAGATACAGAGAGCCAGCTATGTATCTTTTTCCATGGTGGTCATTGCTTTTTTGGCCCTCAGATGTTATTGAGTGACAACTCCCACTGCTTTTGATTAGACCATGTATCACATTATAAATGTCATTTTCCAATAATTCTATCATAAAAACACGGAAAAGGTTTTGCTTGCCTTAATTGGAATTATGACAATGTAACATGAACAGGCTTTTATGACATACAGTGTTTGAAAGTGCCCTCATGTCCTGAGAATGGTACTCTTGTATGACAGACTTTAAGACTTAGTATGTGCCTCCTATGTCATATGATAGATGCTACATATGATTTTGTTATTGCCAAAAGTAACTTGCCAGTGTTAAAACAGAATACCCCGCCCAAAAATACCTAAATTTTGTAGTGCTTGAATACTCATTTTTTACTTTAAAAAGTAGACAACTGGGATACAACTTGTGACATTTCATACCTGTATACATGTCTCTGTCTCTGTCTAAGAGCAGTTTATTCATATACCACAGCCCCATGCCCAGTCAGTTGGATAGGAAGTGTGCAGGGTATTTTCTGTGCAGAAAAAGCCATCTTGGTCTGCCATTGGCCAGAGCACAATCTCATTGCTCTCCGTATCTATTTGGTCGGGTTACTAAGAACAGGAAGAAAATATTGTGGATGTGTAATCTTTCCTAGTATAACTCTGACAGTGGTGTGGGTGATAAGACATTTCAGCAGCAAAAGTGGCAGCCTAGATACCTGTAGCAGGCAAAGGCTACATCATTTGCTTGTGTATTTTAAAGTAAAGACACTATTGAAGCCTACTTTTTCTAACATTTCAGAAAGAAATGTGAGCAGTCTGGTGTAATGGGAGCATAAAACTCTAAATATGCTTTTCTCTCTATTTAGCTACTTGTAAAAGCTAACTAGTAACTAATATTGCTAATTATCATTTGAAGAGCTTGTTTCGAGAAAGTACAAAATCCATTTGAATAAATGTTACAGAAGCTGTTTTAAGTGCTGAGGACATGTATGCTTTTGTTATAAAATTCAATTTTCCAAGCCCTACATTGAATTACTTTGATACATGTTGTTTTGATCTCTACATAATATTTTGACTTGTAGCCAACAATGTGCAGCTACCTATGACTGCCCCCCCCCCCCACACTGTTGGCATTGGTACTTTCTGCTCTCCACAGAATGACCTTCAACTTTCCTATGGGTCTATCAAAATCCATACTTTTAGCTGCAAAACCTGCCCTCCATTTACACATGATGTCAACTTATACATGAATATATGCAATAGCTTTTTCTTATATCTCTTCCCCTGTCCACTCCAATGTATAGTACTTTCTTAAATCTCTATATATTTGCCATATATGATACTTCTATAGGCCCACGTACATTATTCTGCCTAAAAGCATAATTGTTGACATGTAACATCAAGAGCTGATGGAATTCATCCTTCATATGATAATCTTCCTAGATAGATATTCTTCTCAATTAGCCTTTTGGGATATTCTTGGATTGTAGATAAGGGAACCTCTAGCAGTTAGCAAAGCAAGTAGACTCTCTAGGGAGCAAATCCTCAGATTAAGTGTTATTAAGAGCAGCAGAATAAGGAATAAATCTCACCCATTGGACACTGTTGTTTTTGCACAGCTCTTGTGCATGTTGACTTCCCAATGTGTTGGATGACGTGTTAATGACTGGAGGAATACAATTGCTGTCTTTTTTATCAAGTGTTTTAACATCTTGTTCATCCTATACGCTTCGGGTCCAACCTATCTTCGAGATCGCACCTCTGTCTACAAACCGGTACGGGCTTTGAGATTGACAAGGGAGGCCCTCCTCTCAGTCCCACCACTGTCTTAAATGCAGTTCGTGGGTACAAGACAGAGGGCCTTCTCTGTGGTGGCCCCCCGGCTCTGGAATACCTTCCCAAAAGAGATTAGATTAGACCCCACCCTTCAATCCTTCCTTTCCAACCTGAAAACATGGATGTTCAGACAGGCCTTGACCTTGAGTAGGCTGAATGGGCCCATATGACGCTGACACTTGGCACCTGTGAATTGATGGCAATTAGTTTTATCTACTGTTGTTTTAAAATTTTATTGTTTTGATTTTAACATGTGTTGACGGGGCTTATTGTTATAATTTTATGTGACTAGTTTTATACTTTTGTACTGTTTTTACTGGTTGTATGTTATATGTGCACCCTGGAGTGCTTTGTAAGCTGCCCCGAGTCCCTTCGGGGAGATGATGGCAGAATATAAACCAAGTTATTTAGTTAGTTAGTTAGTTAAGTAAGTAAGTACACTCTGCAGTTGTGCTTACGAATTGAATTTACATCTTTTTACTCAAGACAAAATTCAAAGTGTCAAAGAATTTTCAAGGATACGGATACTAAATAGTTGCTTCTCGTTTTTTCCTCCAGAGGCACTGCACCGCCCCTATGGTTGTGATACTGAACCCCAGGCACTGAATGAAGCCATCAGATGGAGCTCCAAGGAAAACCTTCTTGGTGCCACTGAGAGCGATCCCAATCTTTTTGTTGCACTTTATGATTTTGTAGCAAGTGGTGACAACACACTCAGCATCACCAAAGGTAAGCAACCCAGACTCTTTCTTCTGAGGATGAGTGGGTGATGGGGTGGTACACGTGTATATACAGGATAGTGAAAATAAGCACCTTGTTTCCATGCTTGTAAGGGTTTGTAAAGACAGCAGTAATACAGCAATTGGTGTTGTTAGCTTGCGAAAGGAAAGAAGAAGGGTTTGAAACATAAAGGATTATCCAGAGCAGTAGATAGCACTATCCTTTGTCAGTGTGTGTCCTGTCTTTCTTAAATTGGTGACCATACTTTTGCACAATTAAAGGGTTGTTAACTCTTTCTTACCCTAGCCAAAACTGATTTTTTTCTAACTTACATAAAATTGAACTTCAGAATAAACCTACAGATCCTGTCTTGTTTGTAATCCAGTGATTTCCTGTATATGTAAAGTTAAGGATTTTCACTCTGTCCACTTTATGCGTACTTCCTTTGGATTGCACTTTGAATAATTTGAAAAACCTGGCTAGCTCAAGTACTTTTCTGAACTCAATTTTTAGAGATTGATGGTGTACATATCTGATCCAAAAATAAATTCCACTGAATTTTTTGGTACCATCTCAAGATTGCAGTCTTAATTCCATTTCCTTTTTTTATATTGACAACCTGTTTCATCTGTTTTAACGGTATTTTTTTCCCGAAAATATAATTTCATGTATGTTCTTCATCTTCCTCTGGGGTGGGCATAGCGCCTCACTTAAGAGTTTCAGTTTCCCATACAGTCAGAATTATTCTATTTCCGTGTGTCATATTTTGGGCATGTTAGTGTACATGAGTCAGTACAAGCCATGTTGTTCCCTTGCCCATCAGAGTTAAGGAAAATCAAGAACTGAATATTTTACATGGTTGAAACCTTGTTCAGAAGGAAAGAATGATGGATATTTGCAGGTGTCTTGTTTTGGCCTCAGTCCATAAAACTGCTTTTACTCCTACCTCAGAAAGTGCCTTTAGTGCCAGCCTCCCAAGTAATATTTTTCTGATCTCCTGTCAGGTTGCGCATTAAACTAAGAAGGTGCTTTGCACTCTGGTGGTTTTATCTAGATAAAAGAAATACTATTATTTTGATTCTGTTAAATCCTGCTGCAGATTGTGATATTGTTGGACTGAGGTATTTTGGGAGAATCTGGAATGACACTGGAGAGACCCTTCCAGGATTATTCTTTAATAATTCCCTTAGTTTTTCACAGGAAAATACAAAAACCGAGTCTTTATTGTCTGACGCTCCTTTTACACTGCCATATAAAATCCAGATTATCTGCTTTGAACTGAATTATATGGTAGTGTAGACTCATATAATCCTGTTCAAAGCAGATAATGTTGATTGTCTACATTTATAATCTGGATTATTTGGCAGTGTAGAAGGGGTGTGATAGATTCTTTGTTATAGAAAGTCTAACTGGAATCCATCTTGACCTTTATTATTGGGTCAAAATAAATGGGAGATGGTGGGTGAAATCCTACTCAGTTTTGGTAATCTGGGTTGTTAGTCTACTGTAGTTTGGATGATGTAAACAATTTCCAACAAAGTCCCAATACATTTCAGATCACTAGCACCATAATAAATATCATTTTACCTATTTGAAGTTTTACCATCTTTACTTTAGGTGAGAAGCTACGTGTACTTGGTTACAACCAGAATGGTGAATGGAGTGAAGTACGCTCTAAGAATGGGCAGGGATGGGTGCCAAGTAACTATATCACCCCAGTGAACAGCCTGGAGAAGCATTCCTGGTATCATGGACCAGTATCACGCAGTGCAGCAGAGTATCTGCTGAGCAGCCTCATAAATGGCAGCTTCCTAGTTCGGGAAAGTGAAAGCAGTCCAGGACAGCTGTCCATCTCGCTCAGGTACGAGGGACGTGTTTACCACTACAGGATCAATACCACAGCAGATGGCAAGGTAAATGTGTTTGGAAAATCTGTTTTGTAAAAGTTAAAACAATATATTTTCACTTTTAACACTTGTATATCAGAGCAATGTTTGTGTATGTTTGAGTGCATGCGCTTGCGGCAATAACTATTTAGCAATGTCTCTCATTAAACTATGTACTATTTTCTGCTGTTTCTATCACAGATGGAGGAAAGTGTTTGATCTGTTAAATTCTGAACCAATAGCTAGAGAGGAAAGGAATCCTGAAAATGCAAAACAACACTATCCTTATGACTAAAGTTTCTGTCCCAACCAAGATTCTCAGTTAGCAGAATAATTATTGATGCTGAATAGTCAGTAAATCCATTAGCTATTTGTTTGCTTGCTTGGTTTTGGTGGTGGTGGTGGTGGTAGTGGTGGAGGTGGTGGTGGTGGTGGAGGAGGAGGAGGAGGAGGAGGAGGAAGAAGGAGAGGAGGAGGAGGAGGAGGAGGAGGAGGAAGAAGAACAATAACAACAACAACTACTACTAGTACTACTTTATTTTTCTACCCCGCCAGAAGAAGAAGAAGAAGAACTACTACTACTACTACTACTACTTTATTTTTCTACCCCGCCTCCATCTCCCCGAAGGGACTCGGGGCAGCTTACATGGGGCCCAAGCCCAAGGCAGAATACAATTAAAAACAAAGCAATAAACAATTAAACAGCATAAAACAGCATAACAATAATAGCTAGCAACAACAATAACAACAGACTAATTTTGGAGGGGGGGGGGAGGAAAACCACTACATGAACTGGTTAAAGGATAAGGTGGTTTAGTAAGGTGGATAACAATGTATAACGGCATAGGAAATATCATGGAAACACAGCAAATTAACAGGATCGGTTAATATAATATAGGACATCAGATTGAATGACAATTCAAGATATGATACAGGCCATGGCAATAGAAATGGGGCTGAAATCAGAAGTGATGGGGATGTTTGGGTTGTAATTCCCATGGAAAGGAGATAAAGTAATTGATGGTCCCTGTAGCAGCAATAAATACTGTATTTGTGTTCTGCAGGAAGGGAAGAAAATTGCTGCAACAGCCACAGTAAACATAGCAAAAGTGCTGATCCCTATCAACACGATTGCCAAAACTGGGAGATGGTGAACTCCTAAGAGACGCCCAATGCAGTTGTGGCAAAATCCATGCTTCAAATAACAAGCAGTGGGGCAGGGGAAGAAATAACTGCTTCAAAAACTACAAGTCTGTCAAATGGACTTGGAGGAGAAGACCTTTAGCAGCAACTTCTCAGCAGAGCTTGCTATCTCATGGTAGCTTATAGATGCTGTAGGTTGCCCGTCACTGGTGTAGTTGCATTTTATTGTACCCATTGGCTACCCCTAGCTGTTCCTACTATGTGTGTGTATGTGCCTACAAATCACCTGTTGACTTGTGTCAATCTCATGAATTTCAAAAGCTTTTCTAAGGCAAGAAATAATTAGAGATGGTTTGACATTGTCATCTTCTTGTTCCTGTTCAAGCATTAGTAGGTGTTGATGGAATACTTGTTGTTACTGCATGGGGCCTTTCAAGTTTTAATTTTAATATTATCTTTCTGAATTGATAGAATTGCTTAAGCCAGGGGTCCTCAAACTTTTTAAACAGAGGGCCAGGTCACAGTCCCTCAAACTATTGGAGGGCTGGATTATAATTAGGAGGCAAAAAAATTGAATTCCTATTTACACTGCACATATCTTATTTGTAGTGCAAAAAGAAAACTTAAAAACAATACAATAATTAAAATGAAGAACAGTTTTAACAAATACAAACTTATTAGTATTTCAATGGGAAGTGTGGGCCTGCATTTGCCTGATGAGATAGGATTGTTGTTGTTATTGAGTGCTTTCAAGTCGTTTCAGATTTAGGTTGACCCTGCATGAGGGCCTGGTAAATGACCTTGGGGGGCCTTATCTAGCCCCCGGGCCTTAGTTTGAGGACCCCTGGCTTAACCCATAGTTTGCTGGTTGAAATAGGATGTAATTGTATTAAACTGTAGAGTGCAATATTAAAGCTCATTCAGTGAGGAAAATAAGAGTATTTAAAGTATCTCTGTTGCCCACACTTACTATACAGTACCAGAAGAGTAGGAATATCTTTGAATCTTGACTTTGTAATAGAGTTTAAATTTGCATGAAACATACGTGGCCAGCATTGTTATGTTTACCTACCTTGGCATAAACTTAGCAAGACGTGCTTCTGAGAATATATATATATATATAGGTTACAAACGTTAAAAAACAAAGCAAACTATTCTGAACTCATACTTATTTATTAGTATAACACTCCACTTTAGGAAATAATATGTATTTGATAACTACTAAAGTGATCATAGACTTGAATAACGCAGAATTGTTCCTTTACAATAGCTTATTTAAGATCCATTACTACTAATTCTGAACTTAGAATTATCAATTTTAGAAAATGGAAGACTTTTCCATGCAACTCATTCATGATAGTTCTTTGTGTGTGCATCTTGCGTATTTTCAGTCATTTCACATGATGAGGGAGAATGGGGAATTTGACAGAAGTGAAAAGCAAGATATGAATGACCATGTTATACGTCCCTCTGCGGAGGTTGAGAAAGCATGGGATATAAAATAAATAAATGCGTAAGGATTTACCCCAATATATTGCCAGGATCATTATACTGGTGAGGGAGCCATCTTGTATGCCTGAAACAAATACTCAAGTATTCTCTATATTTTGCAATATTTGAAAATACTTGTCCAGAATTAAGATCTGTATTTTTTCCCTTTGGTAATCCATCAGTACATGGAGGAAATGCTATTGATATTTTTCAGTCTTGTAAGTAAGATTATTTGCAGCAGTATGAAGTGGTTGGAACAACCCTATTTTGAGTACCCTTTCAAAAGTTTCCGTGAAACATCCTGAAAAATAGAACAATGTTTCCTAGTAGGTTTATTATTTGTTTGTTTGTTTGAGAAATTTATGTCCTGCCTTTCTCTGAGCACAAACCCAAGGCGGTTACAACAGAATAAGAACATACAATACAAAGTTAAAACAACCCATTAAAAGATAAGTACTATATTTGAAACGGCAAACACAATTAAAACCGCCTGAACATTAAAGGCAAGATAAAAACTCAGAGCTTCCATTACCACTTAATTAAACTTCTGTTTAGTTGGTTTTTAACCTTTTGGAGAAATACCTTACTCGCCACATACATTGCCTTTTTGGTCTTCATGCCTCTTGTTGTGCAACTTACTCCGGTTCTTGGTTTAATAGGTGTATGTGACAGCTGAAAGCCGCTTCAACACCCTGGCAGAGCTAGTTCACCATCACTCAACAGTAGCGGATGGCCTGGTGACAACCTTGCATTACCCAGCACCAAAGTGCAATAAACCCACTGTCTATGGCGTATCTCCCATCCATGATAAGTGGGAGATGGAGCGAACAGACATCACCATGAAGCACAAGCTTGGGGGAGGACAATATGGTGAAGTGTATGTTGGAGTATGGAAGAAATACAACCTCACTGTTGCTGTGAAAACACTCAAGGTATGTTTTTGTTTTCATGAAATCGTCTACTTAACATGGAATTGAGGAAATATAATTGCCTGATTGAAGTAACTTGTAACATATGCTGTATTTAAAAGGCATGTCCTCTATGTTTTAGATGGGTTACAACAACTCAAGGGATGTTTAATAGTACAGCTTCTAAAAGATGCATAATTACAAACTCAGGTTATCAAGATCCAAAAGACATAGGAATTCTATGAAAATTTCCTGAAATTATTTGGCATTCTGTATTCCGATAACACAATTAAACATGATTTTTGTTCCTAGGTTATAAATGTCATTTTGTAATTGGTTCTATCATAAAAACATGGAAAGGAGGTTATTAAACTGCCAAAACTTTGTTTTTGTGGGGCATCCTGCAGCACATTTTGTTTTTCAGTGAATATTTCATTGAGTCTCAACCAATTCAACACAGTTTGTGGCAGCCACAAAAACAAAGTTTCTGGAATATAACGGTTACTTTCAAAGTAAGTACTGCATAATGAAACACCAAATAACACTTTTGAGCCAGGAACAGATTTTTTTTTCAACTTTTGTTATATAGTGTAATGTTTGAGTACTGTTATATGTTATCCAGCAAAACTGTCAAGCTTATAGACGAAACACCATCAGATCTAGAAGTATATATCTCGTAGCATATGAGGGTTGAATGAAAAGTAATGCCTCCACCTTCGTAACTCTTCGACAGATGGCAGTACTGGTATGCGGCAGGTACTGGCTTGTTCAGTAGACTCTCCTCTACAGTTCGATTTTGGCAGGAAGCCTTAGCATTGAACGGTTGTGTTGTTAAAGTGCGAACTATGGAACCCTTCACAGAAGGTCAGTCAGTGCAACTTAAGCAATGTGCAGTCATTGAATTCTTGACAGCAGAAGTTGTCACCTCATCTTTAAACTTAGTCGCCCAGTACTCACATCAACACAATCACCATAAACAGCTTGCATTCTCCGATGAATCTCTTTTGGGGTGACACCTTCTGCTGTCAAGAATTCAATGACTGCACGTTGCTTAAGTCGCATTGATTGACTGCTCAGGGTTCCATACTTCTTCCCTTCCCCTTCCCTTCTAATAAAGTACTGAAATTGAATTTCTTAGACATTATAAATAAAAAAGGAAATGGAAGAAATTAAGCTCCTTTGCATAAGTCCAATTTCACTATGAAATTACAGTATATTCTGGCGTATAAGACTACTTTTTAACCCAAGAAAATCTTCTCAAAAGTCAGGGGTCGTCTTATACGCGGGTGTAGTCTTATGCATGGGAGTTGTCTTAACTCTATATTTTAACTGGAAAAGTTGGGGGTCGTCTTATACGCCCAGTCGTCTTATATGCCGGAATATACGGTACATTACTCTGGTTTGTAAAACCCTCTCTGTGATCAAGAACTTCAATCCTATGCTTTCCTTTTTAGTTGAGGAAGAAATTATACTTCAGCATGCTTGTTTTTGTTTTATATTATGTGCCATCAAATGAGCTTTAATTTATAGAAGTCCAATAAGTGAAAGCCCTCTAAGAGCCCAGGCTTTAATAGCCCTGCTTAAGTTTCAAATTTGGAGCCATGGATTTCTTGATGGAAGCAGTTCATCCAAAAGTGTTCTTCCAATTTACCAAACATTATCATTTTTTGCAATGACATACGTTTTCTCAAGAGATAAATCTGTAAATCTTTCAGCAGCATATCTCAAGTGTATTAATATTCTTTTTGTCCGTGTTTTTCCCTGCCAAGTTTTTATAATCCAACACAGAAATCCGAAATACTTATGGCATGGACAATTCTGATTTTGGTATTTTATGATAGCATTAAATATGGTATATATTTTGTAGTATGATTCATAATTAAGTTGCATTTTTTTATTCAAATGCTACTCCCTATGATCTCCTTCCCCCCAAGACAAATCATTGTGATTATTAAAAGGACAGATGTCTTATGTCCCTTTCAGGAAGACACTATGGAGGTGGAAGAGTTCTTGAAAGAAGCCTCTGTTATGAAGGAAATCAAACATCCAAATTTAGTGCAGTTATTGGGTGAGTGTTCGCCTGATTACAACAATTTTGTACTGCTTTCTTTTTCAGTTTTACTGTTCATAATAACGTACTTGTACTCAGAATTGCACTACAAGGACAGCTGGGTATAGTATTTAATTTGTACTTAAGTCCAGTTAGAATGCAGAGACCATATAGTGTCATTATGCCTTCTTGGCCTGCCATACCATGGACAATGGGTTGAATTCAGATTTAGGTGTTTATGTCAGCTGGCAGAAGCAGACTTTCCCACATGATTTTTCCCATGACAGCTCTTGAACCTCCTGAAAAACCCGAAGAAGGTCTGGGTAACCCACATAATGGAGTGAAATGTCATGCAGTCAGAGAGAACTGTTCTTAGAAATCAGAAAGTGGCACTATCATAGAATGAAACCTTTTGGCCCATATTGATCCCAATGAAGCCATTCATACAGAGCCAATATATCCAAAGCAAAAAGCCCACAGACCCAAGTTATGTAGCTGTTTGCGTTCCATGTGAATCATTGAACTACAGGTTAGAGCTACACAAATTGAGCTCTCTGTGTTAGAGCTATATTCAGTGTCTGGACATCAGTGGAACCAGAAACCAGACAGGCAGCCAAAAACATATATTATTATTATGTTTATTATGTTTATTTATATCCCGCCTTCTCTCTCCATACGGAGACTCAAAGCAGCTCACAATTAAAAATATTACAATATAACTTAAAATATGCAGTATACAAATACCAAAATAGTATTAAACTTCATTAATATTAAAAACAATTCAAGTTAAAAGCATACAAAACCACAGCACCCCCGACTTAAACAGCTTCATCTTTAAACGCCTGTCTGAATAAAAATGTTCTAGTCTCCCGCCGGAAGGACAGCAGGGAAGGGGCCATTCTGGCTTCCCTGAGCAGGGAGTTCCAGAGTCAAGGGGCAGCCACCAAGAAGGCACGCTCTTTCGTTCCCACCAATCGAGCTTGGAATTTAGGTGGGACTGAGAGAAGGGCCTCTCCTGAAGATCTCAGGGCCCAGGCAGGTTCGAACAAGGAGATGCAGTCAGCCAAATAGCCTGGATCTGAACCATCTAGGGCAGTGGTTCTCAACCTGTTTTGGCGTTCAACTCCCAGAAATCCTAACAGCTGGTAAACAAAATACCCGGAGACCCACACGTTGAGAACCACTGGTCTAAGTCTTAACCAGCTCTTTGAATTTTGCCCAGAAACAGACTGGGAGCCAGTGGAGCTGCTTCAACAGGGAGGTTGTTTGCTCCCTGTAGCCTGGTCAGGTTAAGGTGGTCTTTATAGGTCACAGCTACCCCATCCACTTTCCCCCCACATGCTCATTGACATAGTACCCAGCTGGGAGAGCCAGAGCCCAGGTTGGAACTGAGTCAGTTTGTCCATCTCAACTAGTTCACAAATCTTTATCAGCCATTCTTCTTGTGTTGGGATAACTGGTTCTTTCCATCTCTATGCATTTTGGTTTCATTAATGAGAAGTCTGGAAATCCTTCTCTCTATCACTGGAGGAAGAATATAAAATTGCTCCTTTAATTTCTTGGAGATTGTGTGTTCTCACTACCATATTTTAGGAATTTTTATATCTTAACAAACTGTTCCATTCCCCTGCCAGGTGTGTGTACTCTGGAGCCCCCGTTTTACATAGTGACAGAATACATGCCCTTTGGGAACTTGCTGGATTACCTGCGTGAATGCAATCGGGAAGAGGTGACTGCTGTTGTCCTGTTGTATATGGCTACCCAGATATCTTCTGCTATGGAGTACTTGGAGAAGAAGAACTTCATCCACAGGTCAGAAGAAAACCTTAATTTTTATAATGAAGAAAAGTTACTTTTGTGGGGGAGGACAGTGTTTTATTAGGACAAAAGTGGCCAGGCTGTTTGGAAGTTTAAAAAAAACCATTTTTAATATTTTATTTCAAAAAGATAATACACCAACCATATATATTGCAGACATATACACATACACATACGTAGACAACCCGCCACCCACAGTACTGTTTGGAAGTTTAAGTCCAGCAGTATATGTATGCATATGATGTGTTGTGTTAATAATAATCATAAACATAATTTTCAGACTTCCCAATTGACAAAATTTATTAAGTCATTTCTACATCTTGCATCTTGATGTCACTATTACAAGGGTCACTCCAAAAGTAATGCACAACATTTTTGTAAAAAAAAATCCAAATTTTATTCTACATCTTTACTGTTTGCTTGAGGGCACGGAAGAATCCTTAGCACTTCCATTCAAATTTAATTCAGCTCACTCCTATTTATGGCATTGTCATAGCAGTTCCTGATTTGTGAAAATGAGGCAGTGGGGAGCATCCACAGGAGACTGTGTAAGGTGTATGGAGATGACACTGTCAATCACAGTACTGTTAAGTCTCTAGGCACACATGTCATCTGGTGAAAAAGGGCATGCCAACATTCAGGATGCTCCATGAAGCAGCAGACCTCACACCACACAAAGAACTGACAGTGTGGAGTGCATGAACAACATGGCTTAGGTTGATAGATGCATAAGTCTTAAAGAAATGTCACTCCAACTGTGCATTGGAGAAGCAAGTGTGTGCAGAATACTGAAACAGTTGCAGTTGAAGAAGGTCTGTTCGATGTGGGTCTTCAGGAAGTTAACAGATACACACAAGGAAACCTGAAAGTCTATATGCAGCACCCTCTAGGCCCAGAGTGAAAATGATGGAAACAAATTTCTTTCAAGAAACATGGCTGGAAATGAAATATGGTTGCACCATTTTGAACCAAAGACAAAGAGACTATCAATAGAGCAGCATCATATGAATTCTCTTACAAAAAAAGAAATTCAAAGTTGTACCTTCAGCAAGAAAAGTCATGACAACTGTCTTCTGGGATTCAGAAGGAGTCCTGCTAGTGGGCATCATGCCTAAAGGGACTGTCATTAATTCAGAAGTGTATGTGGAAACTCTTAATAAAGTCCATGCTTACCTGCATTGTGTGCATGCACACCGGTAGAAACAAGTTGTTTTGCTGTTGCTCAACAATGCCCAGCCACATGTCAGCCAGCAAACTCAGTGTGAGATAGAAAATCTTGGGTGGGCACAGTTGCCACATCCACTTTATAGTCCTAATCAGTCGCCATCGAACTACTATTTAGCAAACCGAAGAACTCCCTGCATGGAACAAGATTTGAAGATGATATTACTCTTGTAGCAGCAGCCAAACAGTGGCTTAGATGAGCCAATCCAGAGTTTTACCATGCAGGTATACAGGCTCTAGTTCCAAGGTGGTGTAAGGCTGTTGAAAGGGATGGGGATTATGTGGGAAAGTGGAATTTTGTTTTTAAAGCATATCTCAATGTACTGTATAAATAGCAAAGATGTAGAACAAAATTGGGCTTTTTAAAAAAATGGTATGCATTACTTTTGGATTGACACTCGTCATTGTAATTTTGTGATTGTTTTGCTTGTACAGGGATCTTGCGGCTCGTAATTGTTTAGTTGGAGAAAATCATGTGGTGAAAGTGGCTGATTTTGGATTAAGCAGACTGATGACTGGAGACACGTATACAGCTCATGCCGGGGCAAAGTTCCCTATCAAATGGACAGCACCTGAGAGTCTGGCCTACAACACATTCTCAATCAAATCAGATGTTTGGGGTAAGGCAAGAGAAACATTTGTATATAGAGAGTCCCTCTAGTTGTGTAAATAAGAGTTATAATGTGGGGTTGTCAATACCTGTATTTGCGGGGCTTGCAGTAGGCTCTAAACCTCAGTTCAAAGGCTAATGCCTCAAAGACAGATCACCTCCCAGGTGTTCAGGTAGCTGATACATATTGTTAGCAAAAACTAGGGGTAATACAGTATATACTCAAGTATAAGCCTAGTTTTTCAGTCCCTTTTTTAGGCTCAAAAAGCCCCCCTCGACTTATACTCGAGTCAAGGATATTTATATTTTACTCTGTTATTAGTATTATTTATTATTTAATATTTTACTCCATTTGTTATTATTATTACATTTACATTTTACTCTATTATTATTACATTTATTTTTCTCTATTTATTATTGTTTTATTACTTTTTATTGGCCTCTATTATTATTACATGTATTATTTTACTCTATTATTATTACATTTACATTATATTACTCCATTATTATTTTATTGCATTTATTATTTTATTCTATTATTATTATTATTACTATTATTGTTATTATTACATTTGTTATTTTACTCTATTATTCCTGTTATTATTACATTTCCATTATTGTACTCTTATTATTTTTATGACATTTATTATTTTACTCTTTTTATTATTATTGGAAGGCTACACAAGCACATTTACACTGAAGAAGGTTAGAATAATGGTTTAATCAGAGTTTGACATAAATTACAGTTTTATGTAAAAATTCAGAAACATTTCACCTCCTGATGCCTCAATTAATTTAATTTTAATTGGTATCTATTTTTTATTTTGAAATTGGCCCACAGCTGCTGCATTTTCCACCCTTGGCTTATACTTGAGTTAATAAGATTTCCCAGTTTTTTGTGGTAAAATTAGGCACCTCGGCTTATATTCGGGTTGGTTTATACTGAAGTGTATACGGTAACTTGATAGCCATGGTTTAGTTAACACTGTGCAGATCCCAAAGACCAATGTAACTTTGAATTATAACTTAAATTTTTAAACTTTTTGGTGGGCAAATTTCCTACCTTGTTTTAACAAAGATCCAGTCCCCAAAGGCTAGAAAAAAAATGCTGGAACTATTGTATTACCTGGTTTTTGTCCGTCTTCTTAGTAGATACGGCTTCATATATTTCAGCGAAGTTAGGTTGCCATATCCAAAAAAGGAAATCAGCCAAAATTATCTACAGCATATAATTTTTATCTCTTATAATTAGTAATCAATGAACCTGACTTAAAATAACATTGTTTAATTTGCAGCTTTTGGAGTCTTGTTATGGGAGATTGCCACCTATGGAATGTCACCCTATCCTGGCATTGACCTCTCTCAGGTTTATGATCTGCTGGAAAAGGGCTATCGAATGGAACAGCCTGAAGGTTGTCCCCCAAAGGTCTATGAACTCATGAGAGCATGTGAGTATTGTGTTCTTATTTTTACTTCTGGAAGCAAAGAGCAAATTAGGTAATGAGAGGAAATGTAGTAGCACATGAAGGCCTTGCTGTCCTACTGTCTCAACTGTCATTTATTTATTTATTTATTTATTTATTTGCATTATTTCTATCCCGCCCATATCAGCCCGAAGGCGACTCAGGGCAGCATACAAAGTCGGCACAATTTGATGCTATATATAAATACATGCATTGATAAAAAGCAAAAAAGAAACATTGCAGTACATTTAAAAGCATAAAAAACAATAACTAAATACAAAATTTAAAAAACTGTGTCCTCTCGTTCAAATCCTCATCCGTTCCATTGTCTTGGCCATTCCTGGGTCATTTTCTGATTCAAATTTGTCTGTTTATCCTGAGGTTCCAAATGCTTGCTCGCAGAGCCAGGTTTTCACTCTTTTTCGAAAGGTCGGGAGGGAGGGGGCTGATCTAATAACCTTAGGCAAGAAGTTCCACAGCTGAGGGGCTGCCACAGAGAAGGCCCTGTCTCTTGTCCCCGCCAATTGTGCTTGCGAAGCAGGCGGGATCGAGAGCAGGGCCTCCCCTGACGATCTCAAGTTCCTAGTGGGTTCGTAGGAAGAGATGCGTTCGGATAGATAAGCTGGGCCGGAACCGTTTATTGTTTTCCCTATAAGTGTCAATAATCCTAGTAGTTCCCAACCATTTCCCTGTTCACAAATGGTTTCTGGAGACCTGTTACTAGTTTATATATTCTGTAAATAAAATAACAGGAGCAATGGATTGAGTGGTCTACCGACACTGATTTCTGTGCAATAAACACCCATGGTGCCTAATGCAGTAGATTGGATAGCTTTAAGAAAAGCACAGTTTGTGACCTCATGCTGACAGTGGGAAAGGTCCTAGAAGTTGTATTTCTGCTGAAAACATTGGGTTGAAACTTGCAAGATAGGTGGTATGGGTCCCTCCTATCTTTGCGATTGCATCTCCATCTATGAACCGGCATGAACTCTAAGATCCTCCGGGGAGGCCCTCCTCTTGCTCCCACCTCCATCACACTGCTTTGAGTCCCCCTAGGGGTGAGAAAAGCGGTATAGAAATGCAGTAAATAAATAAATAAATCACAAGCACGGTTGGTGGGTACGAGAGAGAGGGCCTTCTTGGAAGTGGTCCCCCACCTCTGGAATGCCCTTCCAAGGGAAATAAGACAGGCCTCATCCCTCCCCTCTTTTCGTAAGAGTTTGAAGACTTGGTGGTTTCAGCAAATCTTTGAGAGTGACCAGTGCTAGCTCAGCCCAGACACTATCTGGGCACGACCTAGCCCCCTATATATTACCCTGGTCATTCTCCTACCAAGCCCCTGGAAATAACGTTTGTCCCTGCTTTTTGTCCTTTTACCTATTACAGTACTTTACCTATTACAGTACTGCTGGTCCCATCTTATTTCAATCTGTATCAGTCTTGACCCAGCCTTTTAATTGTTTTGACCCATTGCTTTTCTATGCCCTAACAAATAGACATGAGGAGCAGGCAGGATTTTTTTCTTTTAAGATTATGTGTTGTTAGGTAATTTCATGCTTATGTTGCTGTTATGGTTATTTTTTGATCATGTTGTGACTCTGTATGTTTTGATTTTGCTGTTTGGAAACCGCCCTGAGTCCCCTCGGAGAGGTAGAGCGGTATATAAATAAATTATTATTATTATTATCATTATCATTATTATTATTATTAATCATGTCAGGGGCAGACCAAACAGTTGCATTGCATTTTTTAACAAACAAACAAACAAAACACAATGTTTGCAAGCTTGGTATTCTGTTAAATGTCCTTTGACCAGTAGCTGGTCACTTGGAGTGCCTCTGGTGTTGCTGCAAGAAGGTCCTCCATCATCATCATCATCATCATCATCATCATCATCATCATTATGAGGGCACTGCTGACCAGGGGAGCATACCTTTCCTGCATCTGCCCTGTAGCTCCCTGGGCATGTATTTCTTTTCTTAAATGGCCAACCATAAAATAACACATCAATTATTAGTCTTCCAACAAATCCAAAGCACAATTTTTAGGAGATCTATTGATCAAAGCCTTGAAATTTACAAAAGGAACAGTAATCCCTGGGCCCTCCCAAAAGCCAGAAAAAGAAGGAAGGTTTTTAAGTACTTATACTGTATCTGGAGTTTGGGTTGACAAACTGCCATCTTTATAGATTAAGGCTGGTAAAGCCATAAGAGTTTCCAAGCTGGGCAACAGAATTATTGAGATTGGTAATACATAAATACAAAATGATACATTTTAGAGGGAAAACCTTGACCAGATATATGGGGCTGTGATTTCACAAGAATGGGGTCATGGCAGGAAGGACAGTGAAATCACTAGCCTTCCTTGTCACAATAGTGCAAAGTGTAAATCTGTTCTTTTAAATTATTGGTAAGGGATTGCACATGCCAAGTACAATGTTTATTTATTGCAAAACATACCCTTCTCTTCCAAACAAAAGTGCATAAAATAACATTGAAATAATGAGATGTAATAAAACTAGTAAAGAGATAGCAGAGTATAGAAGAATAAACATTCACAGTATCAAAACTAAATACAGTAGCAGAAAAAAAGAAAACAGGAAAATATTCTTACATAAAAAGCAGAAAAGAATATAAAACAGCTCACATCAAAGGCCGCTCTGAAAAGCTAGATCTTAATTTGGCAATTAAAGATCTTCAATCCTGAGATTAGGAAATTATTCCACAGAATTAGTACCACAAGCAAAAAATTCCACCACATCCCAACCACTCCAGAATGAATATCTTAAGTCGTGCATAGAAATTAATAAGTAATTGTGTAGATTAAAGAGTACTGCAGTGATAGATTCAGGGTTCCCTGCATCATATAACAGCTTAATAGCAAAATACTGTGCTAGTAGACTATTCAGAACACTTTCTGAGGATGGCGTTGTAGGGATCATGTTATCATAATCCAGTCATGAAGTTATTAAAGCCCTGCCACTCATTGCTGTGGCCCAGTCTGTGTATATGTGTGTATGTGTGTGTGTATGTATGTGTATATATGTGTGTTTGTGTATATATGTGGTTTTACGCATGCATTGTAATGGGTTTTCTTTTGTTTTTTGGCTTTTTAAGTCTCTTCTGCTGTGTTTTTCAGTGTTTTTATGAGTGATGATCATTCATCGGCCTAATAGGTGTATTGTGTCCATATTTGGTGTCAATTCGTCCAGTTGTTTTGAGTTATGTTAATCCCACAAATGAACATTACATTTTTATTTATATAGATTAATGATCAAGGCTAGGTTGTAATGACATTATATAGGTAGATGTGTTTAAAATCCAGGATATAGTTCTGCTACACCTCAACAGTCAGAGTTGAAAGAGAACAAATAAAATAATTTCCTTACATATTGAAACTAAAGCTTTTTCTGAAAAAGGATGGGAAAAATTATGAGTAAATCACATAGTAGAGAGTAGATGGGATTTTTTTCCTCCTTGTTTCTTCCTGGTAAAAATAATTCTGGGCCAAATTGATACTTGTTGGTTACACTACATAACATTCGTAGAAGCTTCTTTAACTGTTTTAAGGAATATGTGACATCATGGTTCTCAAGAACATTGCCATTTAAAAGTAATAGTGGAAGCAGCCCTCTTGAGTGATACACACTGTGTGAATAGTGATAAAAGTTTCTGTAATTATTAGCAAATATTTGGGGTTTTTTTCTTGCACACACTGGATGATGTCTGCATTTTCCGTTATGTGGTAGGCTGGAAATGGAACCCTCTAGACAGGCCTTCATTTGCTGAGACTCATCAAGCCTTTGAAACCATGTTCCATGATTCCAGCATCTCTGAAGGTGAGAATTCTTTTTGTTTCTTTACTTTAAATGCTCTGTACTTAGGATCAAAGAGGCCTAGAGTTGGAAGACTGCAGGTCCAACCTCCTGCCATGCAAACTTATTTTTCTTCTTCTGATACTAAATGCTGAAATGTATGCCCATTGCGAAGGAGGCAAGCTTGTTTTCTACTGCTTCAGAGACTAAGAATTATTGTTTTAATGCTGTTGATGTATTGTTTTTAATTATGATTTATGTTTAATTGTGGTTTTCTTTAATTGTTTGTATTGGCATCGTATCGGTGCCTAACGTAAGGCATTGAATTTTGCCATTATATATGAGTAAACCGCTTTGAGCCCCCTCTGGGGTGAGAAAAGCGGTATATAAATACTGAAAATAAAATAAATAACAAAAATAAGAATGGAACAATGGATTAAAAATACACAAAAAGAGATTCTGTCTAAATATTACAGCAAGAGCTGTTTAGCAGTATAATATAGTGCCTTGGAGTGTGGTGGAGCCTCCTTCTCTTGATATTTTTAAACAGTCTGGATGGCTATCCATTGGGAATGATTGGATTGTGTATTCCTGGATGGCTCTTTTGTGTCTTGCAACTTTATGGGTCTGTGATTCTTTTCTCCCATGCTTTTCTGGCAGTTGACAGTTTTCTTTGTATCTTTCTTTAAACTTGATTTCTAACTGGAAAACGGGCATGCTACATTTCTGTCTCCTTCAGCCTAACACTAATTGGTAATCTGCACAAGCAGGTGGAAGCGTGGGCTGGCAGACTCTTTCTTTATTTGTTTTGCTTCTATGCAGCAGGAGAAACTTTAGAACATTGCTCATGTTTTATTACATTTGAATCTGGGAAACCCTTGCAATTTATATTTATTTATTTACTATATTTCTATACCGCCATTCTCAGCCCGGGAGCGACTGATGTTTACAGGACGGCACAATTCGATGGCCATAATAATACAAAACAGTTAAAACATTTAGACATAGATTTAAAAATTCATTAAATAATAGCACCAATAAAAACATAAATCCTCCGCATTTCATTACCAAAATCATTATCCAGTCGATGAATTGTCAAAGGCTTTCATGGCCGGAATCACTGGGTTGTTGTAGGTTTTTCCGGGCTATATGGCCATGTTCTGGAGGCATTTTCTCCTGACGTTTCACCTCCATCTATGGCAAGCATCCTCAGAGGTAGTGAGGATGCTCTGAGGATGCTTGCCATAGATGCAGGCGAAACGTCAGGAGAAAATGCCTCCCGAACATGGCCATATAGCCTGGAAAAACCTACAACAACCCAATAATTCAGACGCTTTGTCCAGCCATTCCGAGATCAGATTTTGTCTGCTACACTGCATTTGGGAAAGCCTGCTCAAATAACCAGGTTTCAACTCTCTTACAAAATGATATGAGGGTGGGGGCCAATCTAATGTCCCTGGGGAGGGCATTCCACAGCCGAGTAGCCACCGCTGAGAAGGCCCTGTCTCTCGTCCCCACTAGCCGAACCTGTGAAGATGGCGGGACCGAGAGCAGGGCCTCTCCAGAAGATCTTAAATTCACAAACTAGAAAGGGGTGGGGGAGCATATGAGCTGATGGCTCGTGCTTGTTCATCTTTAACACTAAACATGTGGTTTAGTATTGAATTTGGACCAATATGAGGTATCTTGGGAAATAGAGTTAAACATGGCCTTGTTCAGAATTTTGAAGAAGAAAAGACTTGTAAGAATGGCAGCCAGATTACTAACAGGAGCGGGATACAGGGAGCGCACAACTCCTTTGTTGCGCCAGCTCCACTGGCTGCCAATTACCTTCCGAGCACAATTCAAAGTGCTGGTCTTAACCTAAAAAACCCTGTACGGTTTACCTGTCCGAATGTATTCTCCCCTATGAACCACCAAGACAATTAAGATCTTCTGGTGGGGCCCTGCTCTCGGTCCCACCACTCTCGAAATCGCATCTGGCTGGAACGAGAGACAGGGCCTTTTCTGTGGTGGCCCCTCGGCTATGGAACTCTCTCCTGATTGAGATCAGATCTGCCCCTCCCTCCTGTCCTTCAGGAGGCTGGTGAAATCCTGGCTATGGAAGGAAGCATTCCCAGAGTAATGGTTGAAACCAGCTACAGAACAAAGTTATCGACCACACATACGAACTGAGTTGGACATTATTTTATCTTGGCGATTTGGCTTATTTGTAATTTTAATCGATATGTATTTTAACTCGTTATTATATGATGTTTTTAAATTGTACTATTAGCATTGCATCCTTGCTGTAAGCCGGTCTGAGTCCCTCTACGGAGGTTGAGAAGATCGGCATATAAAAGTTTTAAATAAATATTATTATTTTTTGTCATGTCTGGAGCGACTTGAGAAACTGCAAGTCGCTTCTGGTATGAGGGAATTGGTCGTCTGCAAGGACGTTGCCCAGGGGACGCCCAGATGATTTGATGTTTTTATCATCCTTGTGGGAGGCTTCTCTCATGTCCCCGCATGAGTAGCTGGAGCTGATAGAGGGAGCTCATCCGCCTCTCCCCGGATTTGAACCTGCGACCTGTCGGTCTTCAGTCCTGCGGGCACAGGGGTTTAACCCACTGCGCCACCGGGGGCTCCTATAATAAATAAATAATAAATGGTCACAAAAAGTGAATGTTCTCTGAGGCATGATGCACATTTTGCCCAGAAAGGGGATAAGGTTAAGAGAGAGTGAACTCTTGTTTACCCAACATTTCACAAGCTACAGAAGTGTGAGCAGCCGCATTTATCCCACTCTACCCTAATTCAGAATGTATGCTATTCACATGCATATTCTCTTTCTCTCTCACGCACACATACAACAACCTTCTAATTTTATCTCCTGTTGCATAAGACCTAAAAACACGAGGAGCCCAAACATGATTCCACTTGTATATTCTCTTTTCAGAAGGATTAACAAACGATAGCCTTTCTACCGGGACAAATCGCTTGCTTCTATTAAAGCCATAATATTTAACTGCTTAGTCTTTGTAGAGCATTCTACTAGAGCTTTGCTGAGAAAGAGTACCAATTTTTTTGTTTCTCTAACATAACTGTGTTGCTGTTTTGGCATTTTGAGATTCTTAACATTGATCCCTTTCTATGCTTGCTGAATCTCTCGGTGATGTTTCTTTTTCCCTTGTCCAGTGCCTCTCGTTAGCACCCAGATCTGCTTTCCTCTTCCCTTGCTGCTCTCTGTTCCAACTATTCCCCTGATGTTTCTTACAGAAGTGGCAGAAGAACTTGGAAGGACAGCTTCCTCTTCATCCATAGTTCCATATCTGCCCCGATTACCCATGCTTCCTTCCAAGACACGGACCTTGAAAAAACAAGCAGAAAATAAAGAGAATATTGAAGGAACCCAGGAAGCTGTGGAACATTCTCCTTCCAGTTCTGCACCAGGTATGCGATGTAAGCAAGAAATATAGGACTTTATAGATGCTGCTTCTTCATAAACATGTTAGCTGGTTTTTACACTCTGGCCCCTGAAGGCCTTGATTCCAAGACGGGACTAATCAGGAGCTGAATGCACCACATTCTTCTTTTGGGGGCTGGTTCTTTCATTGGAGATGCCTGATGTTGCACAAACTGACACTGTTACTCATGACACAAAACTTTCCCTTCCCTGCCGTAATGGTAAATTCCCCCAACCTTGTCCATAGCGGATTTGAGAGATTTTGAGGAGATGAGGGAGTCTGTTCCTCATACATTGTCCATTCTCCTGGCAGACAGACATACCGTATATACTCGAGTATAAGCCAACCCAAATATAAGCTGAGGGACCTAATTTCACCACACACAAAAATGGGGAAACGTATTGACTCGAGTATAAGCCGAGGGTGAGAAATGTAGCTGCTACTGGTAATCATCATTAGGTTAAATGTTTTTGAGTATTTACACAAAACTATAATTTAAGATAAGACTGCCCAACTCTAATTAAACCATTATTCTAACCTCCTTCAATGTAAATGTGCTTACCTGTTACCTAATAATAAATGTAATAACATGTAATAAAAATAATAATAGAGTAAATAATGGAAATTTAATAATAGTAGTAATAGTAATAATAATAAATGTTGAGATTAATTTCACAATTCAGCAGCAGATCAGTTGCACAACTTCAGCGCTTCCCAGTAGCCTCTTCCTGCACAGTATTTTCAGTCAATTGCTCCCATAGCCTGCAGTCACTCTGGAACCTTTTACAGACACTTGGGCACATGCCCTGCCATTGTCAGTTTTACCATTGTCTTTCCCCCAGTCTAGATGATATTACAAACTTACCACAGCATACAGTTATATCTTGTCTTAGCAGACAGGTTCTTTTAATTACATATAGCCTTCGACGAACAACATCACAGCATGAGGAGAAATATACACTGTACATGACTTCCTTATATACAATTCTATACAATTATACATAGCAATCACTGATTGGTTCCCAACTCATTGACTCAACTCAAACCCAGGATTGCATCATTCACAATCACCTGGACTAGGCCAGAACACATTCCCCAAATGAAGTTCTATATACAGTTAATGCATGACTCAGCATTCCCAATAGAAGCCCATTAGCAGTGCATGACTCAGCTATATTACATTGCAATACAGTAATGTAATAATAATAATAGAGTAAAATAATAAATGCAATAAATATAATAATACAGTAAAATAATGTAAATGTAATAATAATAGAGTAAAATAATAAATTTAATAAAAATAATACTAATATTAGAGTAAAATAATAAATAACCTTGACTCGAGTATAAGCCGAGGGGATTTTTTTTCAGCCTAAAAAAGAGGCTGAAAAACTAGGCTTATACTCGAGTATACACAGTAATTTGTCTTTGTGGTCAAAGGAGGCAACTTTGAATCTGCTCAGTCAAATGTTGGACTGTTCTTCATATGCAAAGATGGGGGTGGGACAGGATTTTTAAAAAGCTTAAAGAGAATTAAGAATTGTAAGTAAGCTTACGTTCATAGTTCTGGCACAGGAGTAATATATAATATAATAATAACTTTATTTTTATACCCCGCCAACCATCTCCCCAAGGGGACTCGGGGCAGCTTACATGGGACAAGCCCAAAAAATTACAGATAAGAACACAAAAAAATTAAAAACATCAGAGAAAATATAAAACAATCACAATAGTAAACAACACCAAAACATTTTCGAAGGCTTTCATGGCTGGAATCACTGGGTTGTTGTAGGTTCTTTTGGGCTATATGGCCATGTTCTAGAGGCATTCTCTCCTGACGTTTCGCCTGCATCTATGGCAAGCATCCTCAGAGGTAGTGAGGTAGGATGGCAAGCATCCTACCATCTATGGCAAGCATCCTTCCTCTGAGGATGCTTGCCATAGATGCAGGCGAAACGTCAGGCGAGAATGCCTCTAGAACATGGCCATATAGCCCGAAAAAACCCTACAATAACCCAACATCAAAACAATATGGCTGAGAAAACAACATAGCTGAGGTTCAAGCACAATGAGTCTAATACATCCTGAAGGGAATGCAAGAAAAGTACAACAATCAAGTAGACAGGGCTGGAAAAACTGTCATCAAACGTGTTGAGGTAGATGATAAGAGGGCCGACATAAAGTGCTTAACGTAAGTAGGGACAGGAAAATTACTGGTGTACTGCTTAATCAAAAGCACACCAGAACATCCAGGTTTTTAGTTGTCTCCAAAAAGAGGACAAAGTAGGAGCCTGTCTGATCTCCCTAGGGAGGGAGTTCCAGAGCCTGGGGGCCACCACCGAGAAGGCCCTCTCCTTCGTCCCCATCAACCGAGTTTGAGATGGCGGAGGGAGAGAGAGCAATGCCTCCCCGGATGATCTCAGGGTACGCACTGGTTCATAGGGGAAGATGCGATCGCGGAGATAAGCAGGTCCCGAACCATTTAGGGCTTTAGAGGTGATAACCTGCACCTTGAATTGGGACCAGAAACTTATTGGAAGCCAGTGGAGCTGTTTAAACAGGGGGGTATATAACCTGCTCCCTATAACCAGCACCCATAAGTAGTCTGGCCGCTGATCTTTGGACCAACTGTAGTTTCCGGTCCGTCTTAAAGGGCAACCCCACATAGAACGTGTTGCAATAATCCAACCTAGAGGTGACTAAGGCATGGATCACCTAGGCCAGATCAGATTTCACGAGGTAAGGACACAGCTGGCGCATAAGCTTTAACAGTGCAAAGGCTCTCTCAGCCACGGCCGACACCAGAGCATCAAGTGTCAATTACTTGAACTAAATTTGTAATCCTGCCTGTCTCCTTGCCTCTTCACCATGTTATGGAAAACGGAATGTCCAAAAACAGTAAATCTGTGATCAGAACTCCATTCATAGTGACCATTGCATTTTTCGGAAAACAAGAATTAGCTTAGGCAACAGGCTGGAGGATGCAGTGCATTTTGCCATTTGCATTTCCAGTGCAAATGGTAAAGAAGTAGCTCTCAGATATGGTGATCCCTTGGTTGCCAGCTTTTCTGTCTTTAGGAAAAGACAAAGCATTCCATGATTTTCTCTATACAGGGAAGAATGAAATGGATATTGGGGATAGGTGATGTGTGATGAGGGGAGAAGAAAGATGAGAGGAGACACTGGTGTTACTCAGTTCAAGGTTGATAAAGAACATTGGGCTGCAAACCTGGATAGAGTTCAAAATGATAAAGGTCCCCACATCTCAAAAGTGGAGGCCGCTAAGATAATTCTCCAAACTGCTGTCTTCCCTGAGAGAAGTGACAATAATAATAATAATAATAATAATAATAATAATAATAATAATAATAATAATACCAGACATCACGATTGTGGAAAAGAAAAAAGTCTGGATTATTGATGTTGCCATACTGGGTGACAATCGCATTGAGGAAAAACAACAGGAAAAACTCAGCCGTTATCAGGACCTCAAATTTGAATTGCAAAGGCTCTGGCAGTAAACCAGTACAGGTGGTCCCAGTGGTCATTGGCACACTGGGTGCCGTGCCAAAAGATCTCAGCTGGCATTTGGAAACAATAAACATTGACAAAATCAAGATCTGTCAACTGCAAAAGGCCACCTTACTTGGATCTGCACACATCATTCGAAAATACATCACAGTCCTAGACGCTTGGGAAGTTCGACTTGTGATTTTGTGATACGAAATCCAGCATATAGATCTTGTTTGCTGTGGCCTACTGTGCTTTTGTGTCAATAATAATAATAATAATCTTGATTTATACCCCACCACCATCTCCCCAAAGGGAACTCGGGGCGGCTTACATGAGGCCAAGCCCCGTAGTGCATTACCACAAAATAAAAGCAAAAACATAAAACAAACATCGCAATAAAGTAAATAAAACATAAGAATACAATAAAACAGTCCAATTTTTTTCTTCTGTGTGATAAAAAGCAAGATAGGTGCGGGGATTCTGATATGGTTGTCTGCATTGTTGTTAAAATTGATGGGAAATCCAAACTTGTGTGTAGTTGCCACCTGACAATGTGCAGCAAGGCTACCTAGACTAGACAAATTGCTTTGTGTTCCTTTGTTGAATTATAGTTCCAGTCTGCATAAGTACCTTGACTCCATAGTGGCAAGTGTATATTCTCTCTCCCTTTCTCCAGGTTTTATTAGAAGCACACAGCAGACCAGTGGATCTCCAGCACTACCTCGCAAGCAGAGAGACAAGTCCCCCAGTGGCCTTCTTGAAGACACTAGAGAGACAACTTTTACTAGAGACAGAAAAGGTGGTTTCTTTAGCTCGTTCATGAAGAAGAAAAATGCCCCAACGCCTCCAAAACGCAGCAGCTCATTCCGTGAGATGGAAAACCAACCTCACAAGAAGTATGAGTTGACGGGCAATTTTTCAGGAGCTGGTCCTTTGCAACACATTGATGGATTTTCATTTACCTCCTCCCAGCAGGATGGGACCCTTTGCTCGTCCAAGTGCTATGTTGGGGGCTTTGCACAGCGGAACTTCTATGGTGAGGATGGTGGTGGAGGGAGCACTAGTAGTGGTGGAGGCACTGGTAGCGGGTGGTCGGGCCTTTCAGGCTTCTTCACTCCGCGGCTAATTAAAAAGACACTGGGCTTGCGCACTGGAAGGCCCACTGGTGCTGAAGAAGTGTCAAAGCCTTTCCCTCGGTCCAATTCGACATCGTCAATGTCCTCAGGTCTTCCTGAGCAAGAGAGAATGGCAATGACCCTTCCCCGAAATTGCCACAGATCCAAAGTTCAGCTGGAGAGGACAGTATCCACCTCCTCTCAGCCAGAGGAGAACGCAGGCAAGTCCAGTGATCTGCTCTCTAAAAGGTGTGAAGAAGTCTCCACTTTGACCAGAGACAGACCAAAAGCCAAACTTCTGTCAAGAGGAGCTGTTCCCCCCAAGACCTCTTCTGTGGATGCGGCTATTTCAGAAAAAGATTGTCAGGGATCAACGGCAACAGCAAGCCTGAAGAGCAAAGAGAAGAACAGTGGGACACGGCAAGGGTCAGTCGAAGGTGAAGAGAAGACAAGCTGGCCTTCTCCAGCCAAGGCTGCAGTCTCGCTTCCAACTACTCACAATCACAAAGTGCCCGTCCTCATCTCACCCACTCTAAAGCATACTCCAGCTGAAGTGCAGCTCATTGGCACAGACTCTCAGGGGAATCGGTTCAAGCTCTTATCGGAGCATCAGGCCACTGCTTCCAGTGACAGGCCCAGACGGATAAAACCAAAATGTGCTCCTCCACCACCACCCATCATGAGGCTCCTTCACCAGCCTCCCGCTTGCTCAGATGCAGCAGACGAATTGAATAATGGAGCGCTGGTCCAGCAGGGGCAGGGATCCAGTGAGGGCAGCAAAAAGACAGCAGTGGCACCTGTGAGTGGGAAAGCTGGAAGGCCCATTATGCCTCCGCCTCAAGTGCCTCTGTCCTTATCATCCACCTCGCCTGCCAAAATGGCCAACGGCACGGCAGGAGCCAAAGTCGCGCTGAGAAAGACCAAACAGACAGCAGAGAGAATCTCAGCAGACAAAATCAGCAAAGAGGCGCTCTTGGAATGTGCAGACCTTCTCTCAAGTGCCATTGCAGAGCCCACCACAAACAGCCACCTGGTGGACACTGGTCACCAGCTCTTAGATTACTGCTCAGGCTACGTGGACTGCATCCCCCAAACACGCAACAAGTTTGCCTTCCGGGAAGCTGTGAGCAAACTGGAACTCAGCCTGCAGGAACTGCAGGTATCCTCGACGGCTGCTAGTGTGCCTGGGGCGAGTCCTGTACTTAATAACTTATTGTCTTGTGTTCAAGAAATCAGTGATGTTGTCCAGAGGTAGCTACTGTCAAATAATCTGGTTAGGAGGGGAAAATGTACACCAAGAGGAGGGAGAAGTGTCGGGGTGACTACTTCTAATGTGTGTGCGTGTGTTTTCTCCTCCATTGATGATTTTGAAAAGAGAGACTGATACTTGAGTAAGTTTTATGTGAAGTACCTCAGATCACTGAGCTCTCGTGTTTACAGGTTCATCTCAGTACATGGGACGGAGGGGAGGGTTCCAAGCCTCAAGGGGTCAGGCGGTTGCAGCCAAGAAGGGAAGAATGTTAAGAATTTGCTCTGGCTGGAAAGTGCACCTGCACAAGGGGAGCTTGTGCTCTCATCCAGCAGGTTGACACATCGACAACAGAGCCTTTGTTTTGGGAAGGGCTGCTGTGCCCTGTGATGTTACCCAACTGACCAGAATTGTTGATGGAGGGGTCAGGGATTCTTTTCTGCACTACTGCATGTTTCACTTCCCGAGATCCCGAGTTCAGAGGCTCCGTTGAAAGTGGAGTTTTGACGGACCTTCCCAAGAGGGAATAAATTAATTTTGGGGAAGGCCCATTGCATTAAATCAGTATATGGAAATTTGGGAAGTTGATGCACTAGCCCACCTGGCAGAACTTCCACAGTGCGTCTTGCTGCTGTAATCAGAGATACAAAAAAACAAAAGATGAGCTGATGTACGAAACACATCCCTTTTTGTCATTGTCCCCACCTCTTTTACCACGCACGTTCACTCGCTCACAACGTCTGCAGTGATAGTTGGGCAGATTTGCATTTCACACAATCACACCCTCCACTCGGAACTGGCTATCATCACCTTTTGGGTAGTGTAGCATAGGTGTCTATTCTGGAAATCACTTGAGTGGTTTGAAGCTGTAGCACAAACTGACCAGCACGTGTCCAAAAGCTGTTAAATTCTGTCTGTTTTTAAAGATTGCTGTAACACTGGCTCCTTCTCCTTCAGTAAGCCTTGAAGGGCCACCCTTGGATCAAAGGCACTGCAGAATGCTGCTACTGCTGCTCTCTACATTCCTTTTTAACAAATACCCATCTTAATCCAGCCATAGTTGTCAAGGGAACCCAAGGCAAGAATGTCTACAGAAAACTCCATTAGGGCAACAGTGGTGACATTCACAAATCTTACTCAAATATAGATATTTTCCTCTGTGCAGAATTCCAGTACATTTTGGTTACCAGGAAATGCCCTTCATTGTGTAGCATTACTGGAAGGGGAACAATGTAGCAGGGTGGGAGTTTGCCCCCTTTTGCTTTGTACACTTGAAATTGTGGTAAAGGATAGCAAGTTATGGAGCTCAGTTCAGGCAGGAGGTGGGGGGAGATGATGGTCTTCATTTGGTAGAGATCTGTGTGCACACATTTTTCCCTTCAGACCAATAGTTTGTCATGCTGCAGGTGCCCATTTTGCTGTCACACCTCTTTCTGACGAGGGCAAATTGAGTATCCCTACAGTATCAAAATGTCTGTATGGTGGGATGGGTGATGCCCCCGATCATGCCAACCACTGTTGCCAAGTAAATCAGAAACAAGCCTTGCTTACACATTCTGATTTCAGCTATTCATCCACTCCCCTCAGGAAATCCTCGCTTTCGACAATGCCCACATAATATCTCTGTGTTTGATTTAATTTATAGAAGTATATGTAAAGTCTACAGTATGCTGCTATTCATGAGACATCTCTTCTAAGAAACACAAGAACATGAAACCTCACTTACATCCAGTACAGCATGTCAAAACTGTTCCCTCACAAAGTGGTATTTTTGTCTTTTGCTACGGCTGAGTTAGCTACACTGAAAGGTTAAAAGCGTGTCAAGGTTTTTTTGTGGTGAATAATGTATATGGCATGGGAAGGAAGTGCTTGTTCTCAGAACCCACTGAAAGGGTCTTTTGCTCCAGGCTAAGTGTCTTTCCAATACATTCTTGCTGGTGAAGGAAGGAATTTTTGGTTTGGGAGCCATGTACCCCCTTTTATCGCACACTCAAAAAATCAGCCACATTTATCACTACCTTCTTAGTCTGTGTTAGCATGATCGGTCAGATATTTTCAAGGTTTGATTTGCTCTGCACCTTAAACTTTATGAAACATAACATTTTTATTTAAAATATTGAGATGAAATATAATTTTTATGTTGTGCAATTTATTTTTTATATTGAACCCCTATACATTTGCCACACTTTGGGGAGTTTATCGGAGAACTAGAATGGCATCAACTCTGACAAATATTTGTTGCTCTAATACAGTGGTTCTCAACCTAAGTCCACAGATGTTTTGACTTTTTCCTCCCAGAAATCCTAACAGCTGGTAAACTGGCTTGGATTTCTGGGAGTTGTGGGCCAAAACATCTGGGGATCCACAGGTTGAGAACCACTGCTCTAATAGGTGCATGATGTTGTAAAACATTAAAGGGACCAGATTGCTTTACAATGCAGGCTCACTGAATTAAAACTGGGCACATGAAGGTTTGGATGACTGGGTACAAATTATATGCATGAAATGAAAAATAACTGACAGGAAACAGTGTCCCGAATATTTCTCCTTCCATTGATCCCCTGCATTTCTCTCCTGAGTTGTAAACTTTCCCTGAGGATCTAGGAAAAGAAAAGCAGTGTCTTGGAAGAGCGCCTCACTGGGCAATGCTTGGTTTCAGGGTCTCATACCCTCCCATTCTCACTAACCCCACTTCCCAAACAGTCTTTCATCATTCCCTGGTTACGGAGCATGCTCTGTCCTCATTGGACTGTTTATGGGTTTTCTTTTGACCCCTCCCCCCAAGTATGGATTTTTTTAAATTATGGAAACTTCTCTCTTGTGTGTGTTGGCACTACCATTTTGATTCAGTAAGAACACCCAGAGAATTGAGGTTGCTATTAGTGTATATGTGTGGCGGGGGGACTTCCCTAGTGCATAATTATGAACTAGTTTTCTCTAGTTCAAATGTATCTGCCACATGTTGTCTAACATCTGCAATTGTTGGATACCTAGTTACAGTACAACAGCATGTCATCCTGACCTCTGTGAGGTTTCTTGGAATTACTGAAGTAGAACTTTCTTTCTGATTCATTCCATACACAACAATTATACAAGGTGCAGCAGCATAACTTCCTTTTTTCAAAACTTAATAAAACTCGTATGAATCAGAAAAAGTTATAATGTAGGCGCATACCTAAAGTTTTGTTTTACGTAGTTTTGAAGATCAAATTAGGTAGGTGACGTCCCCCATTCTCCATTCTCTATACACTGAGTAAACTGATTTCTGGTGTTTGTCATGACCCTTGCCAGCATAGCAGGCGTTAACATTGACAATTTCTTCCTGGATGTTGGTCTTCATATCTTGTAGGGCCCTTGGACGGTTCACATAAACACGGGATTTCAAAAAACCCCATAGAAAAAAATCACATGGGGCCAAATCTGGAGAGTGGGCCGGCCACTCCAAATCCGCTCGAAAAGTAGGCCTCAACGGCAAAAGCACGCTCCTCACTGTTCCAATGCATGATGGGACTGAACTTTGTCAGGACAAAACTTTATACTCCCACCTCTCGAACGAGACCACTAGCGCTCTGCTATGTCTTCAACCGCCTGAATGGCGTGCATTTTTAAAAACAAAGTTATGCTGCTGCACCCTGTTGTTCAGTATCTCTCTTCAACATTGACAGTGACATGTAGTGGCTGAAAATCACTTTTTAAATCATTTTATTCAATTATTTAATAACTAACTTGGACAAAATTAAAAGGTTGCAAGAAAGGACATTGTTCCATTATCTGGGCAGAGGCCACAAGGGGCGCTAGAGAGAGAAGAATACTTCATTTTATGGCAGTGGACTGTGGGTTGAAGGAGTAAAACCATTTCCACGTGTTTTCCTGTTACTCCACCCACCCATGCCCACTCGTGGAAATAACCCTCCTTTATGATATGCAAAGAGGGGAGGGGGAATAGCCAGTGAAAAGGGGGAAGAGTTTTCCTCCTTCAACTCCCCCCGTAAAATGAAGTAGCCTTCTCTCTCTAGTGGCCCCAGTTGCCTCTGCCCAGATAATGAAGCAGTACCCAAGAAAGATGTTAATGTAAGTAGAAGCTCTTAGAGCAGTGGTTCTCAACCTGGGGTCCCCAGATGTTTTTGGCCTTCAACTCCCAGAAATCCTAACAGCTGGTAAACTGGCAGGGGTTTCAATGAGTTGTAGGCCAAAAACATCTGGGGACCCTAGGTTGAGAACCACTGTCTTAGAGAGAACAGATGGGAGTGTCTTGGGTTCATCCTATATAGTCAATAGGCAGTACAGACATAGATTGTTCTCAAAATAGCAAATATTTGTTCTGGGTATCATGTAATTTCTGAAATGGCAATCAAGGCCTCTTAATACAGGTGCACCCCATGTTTTCCGTATAAGCAGAGATGTGGTCGTGCAGATCTAGTCAACCTTCAATCATCCCTCAACTAAGTGTTGCAATACTCCAATCTTCAGAGGCCACATTGTCCATCCTTGGTTTAAGAGTATTTTGTGTTCTGCTATTCCCTATCTATAGATCCAGTGCAGAGTTCTAGGCTCCTCGGTAAACTATTATTTTAAAATGTGTTGTTATGGATTGCATTGATCCCTTTTACCACCAGTGCTTACAAGAGAGAAGCCATTCACTTCAGATAGTTAATTCTTGAATGGTAATAATGTAAAACACTGTTGAGATCTTTTTCAACTCCTACATTTTCTTAACTGCCACAAAACGCATGGCATAGGTGCACTTTTTGCCAATGCATGAGTTTGACATTTCTGCCATGTTGAGAAAGCAGGCCTTATCTAAATTACGTATGTTTTTTTAAAAGAATATGCTTGAATCTGATTTCTTCTGCCTTTGTCAGTATGCTGCTACAGGGATCTGAGGGATACATCCTTTTTTCATTCTATTCAGTGGCTGTTGTCTTTTTTTTTTTTTTTAAGTCAAATCCTTGCTTTGGTCTTTCAGAAATGAGCTGATCATGATCCTGACATTAGTTGCCAAAAACGTTTTGGGGGGTCTACCTAATCTTATCTGGATAATCCATACGAAGGCAAATCACGATCGGGAAAGACACACTTTTTTTCTCTTTCAAGCAACTTTCATGCCTCAGCTGTATCTTTCCTTTGTACCTTATTAGACTTTATTCCGTGTTCTTGGTAGCTTTGCGTGGGATTATAGTTTAATGGCAGAAAAGGCTGGTGGGAAGGAGAGATTGTGGATAAAGTATACATGGCAGCAACAACCTGATAAAATCACAGGTCATGTATTTTTTTAAGGTGAGATCTTTGTAAATGAAACTGTGACCAGGAAACCAATGCCTGTTCTATTTGCACTGTTTTGCTGGAAGTGTTGAGATCAAAGCTTAACATTTGTGGGAACCTTCTGGTGAGTGAATTGTGCTTCTGGATCATTGTAAGTATGTCTTGTGGACATGGATTGCTTCCCTGCTCTTTAGTTTTGACTAATCATATGATTTACGCATTTTTTTCATTTTAGTATTTTCTTACATGATTCCTACGGCAGCATCACATTAGAAATGTAAGGAACAAATCTGTGGTTTGCGCAGTTTGTATCCAGTTCAACATAGCATTTGCTATGCTTTTAATGGGACAGTTGGGAAGAAGGGCTGATCTGCTGTCGTTGCGTGCATTTTCTGGAATTACGGCAGTGAGCTTTGCCTCTTAATTCAAATTGTGCCCACAAAATGCAGTGCGAGACCATGTTACAAGAAGGGAATTGTAATTAGAGAAATAGATTTTTGAGCAGATTCCACAGGAGGCTTCAGCCAACAGAAAATTGGCCAAGGGCACCGTTGTCATTGGGGTCTGTTGTTTAAAGGAGTACTTTAACAAATGCCTCTGCTCTTGCAGGTATGTAGATAATGTACATGTTCACCAGGAAGGTTTCAATGTGCACCAGCATGCTACGACATAGACACTCTGCCTGAGACTGCTTTCATAGGCAGCAAGTTTTGATATTTCTAAAATCTTATCATCTGTAGTAGATGATCAAAGCACTAAGCTTGGAAATCATTCCAACCAGGTATTTACCTGGAAAGCCACAAGTTTATACAGTTTCTAGGGTTGGATGAAGTGGCATCAGTAGTGTGAAGTCCTTGCTCTATTATTGATTTGAATGTTTGTCAAAAGGAGAGGGGAGGAACAAAGGGCTTCATGATCTCCTTATTGAAAGTGACAAATATACTGCCACAGTAACCAAGATCATTGCATACATGTAGAATGCAAAGGTTAATCATTTCCTCTGTACTGAGAAGGGTATTTATTTGGGGGGGGGGTATCTTTGGGGGGGGGGACACCTTTCTCAGCATTCAAAACTTGATATTTTGGGGAGTTAAGAGTCAGCTTTGCCTCCCTGACATGCCTTTTCTCCCTGTTCTTCTGATTTGTACTGTCACGTCCTCAGTGGAACACTCCATGTAATGATTCACATTTGCCTTTGTTGGGTTGATATAAACTGGCCCTAAACTGTAACGAAACATACTGATCGCCTCTAGTTCCATCTTGGAGCACAGAGCTCTGAACATTGAGCAGACATCATCCTAGTTTTTCACATGATTCAGAATGCAGGCCTGAGAAACACTGAATGTGATAAGTACCAGATAGGCTCATGAACTACCACTTTCTGACCCATTCTTAATTCAATACTGAATCTGCACAGCTATATTCAGGAATGCTCATCAGATGAGAATGCGGCCTTTCCTTGTGTCCAGGAAGGGCAGCCTCTTAGCAATGCTCAGTTTCTCTGTAGTTGCCAAGGGCCAAATGGCCCAAGAGTGTGTGGTGCAAGTGGTGGGCATCCAGGGGAGGGAAAGGGAGGGAGGGGACAGGGAAATGTCTTTTCAGGACAACCCTGCACGCTAATTAGCAAATAGTTGAAATCACTGAGGAAAGTTTTTGTTGAAACCGAAAACATGCTGATCACACTAAAGAACCCACTCTTCCAGTGTTGTCAATTGTTACTTTGTTTTGTTTTTCATTTGTTGTTATAATATATTTGGTTTTTTTCTAATTTAAATTCTCACTATTGCCTGACTGTGAACTGCAAACAGTGTTAACTTGATGTAAATAAGGGCCCTTAGAGGTGGTACCTCTGGCTGTTCCACAAAGATTTTTTGCCAAGTTGCATTTTGTTTTAAATAAAAGTTGCAATATTTTATTGGCAAATAGTTTGACAGATGCGTTTATTGTTGAATTCACCCTTGAGATACTATAGAAGAGAGAATGTGACGGCAGAGGGAAAACTAATATTGAAACCTATTGTTCATTCGTTCAGTTGTTTCCAACTCTTCGTGACCTCATGGACCAGTCCACGCCAGAGCTCCCTGTCGGCCGTCACCACCCTCAGCTCCTTCAAGGTCAATCCAGTCACTTCAAGGATGCCATCCATCTTGCCCTTGGTCGGCCCCTCTTCCTTTTTCCTTCCATTTTCCCCAACATCATTGTCTTCTCTAAGCTTTCCTGTCTTCTCATGATGTGGCCAAAGTACTTCATCTTTGCCTCTACTATCCTTCCCTCCAATGAGCAGTCGGGCTTTATTTCCTGAAGTATGGACTAGTTGGATCTTCTCACGGTCCAAGACACTCTCAGCACTTTCCTCCAACACCACAGTGCAAAAACATCTATCTTCCTTCGCTCAGCCTTTCCTATGGTCCAACTCTCACATCCGTAGGTGACTGGGGAATACCATTGCTTCAACTATGCAGATCTTCATTGCCAGTGTGATGTCTCTACTCTTCACTATTTTATTGAGATTGGACATTGCTACCCTCCCAAGAAGTAAGCGTCTTCTGACTTCCTGGCTGCAGTCTGCATCTGCAATAATATTTGCACCTAGAAATACAAAGTCTGTCACTGCCTCCATGTTTTCTCCCTCTATCTCCCAGTCGTCAATCATTCTTGTTCATTCATTAAAACCTAAAATCATTCACTGAAACCTAAAATCATACAAATCAAGATTGAGTGGGGACTAGAATGCTGGGATGTGCCAAGGATACAAAAATACCCTGGACAATCATGCCCCTGTTATTAAATGGTAATGTGAATGCAGATGTTTTAGCTTGCCCACACATCACTATGATCTACTAAAATGGGAAATAATCCACCATAGCTAAAATCATGGATCAAAATCCTGCAGATTTGGTGGGTATATTGTAATTAGCGCAACTGAAATTGATAAATTGAACAGGTAAGTGGCAGCTAAGGCCGGCACCATTGTGACTGAAGAGTCAAGCTACTATGTTCACAACTGAAATAACAGTACAGCTCTTTGCAGAATGTAGTTCTATGGTAATTGCATGTGACGTGTAGTCTTGAAACACTAGGGGTCACCTGTCATTTGAAGCTTCAGCTAATGACATTCATATATGAATTGGCCATCATGGCTCAATTATAAAATAGATCTTAAGTACGGAGACAAGGTTAATTCAAATGCACCAGTGTGTGTATAAACTGTTCAGTTTGTTGATGCAGCCAAGTGCTAAAGATTAATACATAAGTCAGTCTCAGGGCACATGTTAAAAAATTGCAATTTTAATAATGCTAAATGTCAGAAGGCAAGACTTTTAGTTTAGTGATTAAACAAATGAACTACAAATTGCCAAGACTGGTTAAAATCTTGTTTCTCACAGTAGATCTTTGGTTCTCAACCTGTGGGTCCCCAGGTGTTTTGGCCTACAACTCCCAGAAATCCCAGCCATTTTACCAACTGTTAGGATTTCTAGGAGTTGAAGGCCAAAACATTTGAGAACCACTGCAGTAGATGACGGTTGGTTTTTCAGCTTTCAACCTATTTGTAATATGAACAGCAATCATTGTGTGTGTTCGCATCATTTATTTATATAATGCCATTGACGGACATGGCACTTTAGAAGTAAAACACTTGAAAACAGTGGGCCCTGCCAAAGTTGTACAGTCTAAAATATATGTATGTACACATACATACATAAGAAAAGGAAGGAATAATAAAAATATAAAACTATACAATTGTGAAAGAAATTATCCAGATAAAATACAAAATATACAGTAGAATAGAAAGGTAACAAATACATATTGTCAGAGTATTCCAGATTCTCAAACAAAATTAAATTAAAATTTCTAAAACTTGGGAACACAAAGTTTTTAATTGAACTCTAAAAATAATGAGTGAAGAGCAGTCCATAAATATTCAGGGAGGCAATTTCAAGTGCATGGAGCTACAAGTGAAAAAGGATGAAGCCAAGCCAAAGAGGAAGAAACCTTTGGTTGACCAAGAGGCCTGGAGTTCCTGGAACACAGATCTCAAACTAGAAGAAATGAGGTAAGAGGAAATAAAGAGGGGAGATAGTAAGGGATTTTGGCAGCTAAGACATGAAGCTTGTACTAAACCCTAGAAGGGGGGTAACCAATGAGGAGTTATAAAAATAAGTTGACATGTTCAAAATAATGGGGCAAACAGATAACAGAAATGAAAACCATAAAACTAAGGTCAGATCAGGGAAGACCAGACAAAACATTACAATAACCAAGGCTGGATGGTCCTTGTGGTCCTTTCAGATTCTATGAGCTAAGGCAGGCCTTTCCAAACTGTGTGTCATGACACATTAGCCTGTCGACTGCAGTGTGTAAGTGTGTCGTGAGAACGTAAGGTAAACCTGAATCTATGTGAAATAAGCAAATCGTGTTTTTTAAATAAAATTAATAAATGACAGGTTTTCATGAGATATGTTGTGCCCCCATATAAGTCATCATTACAATTTATGTACATGTCTGTATCTCTTACTGGGGCTTGGTAACCTTCAATTTGCTAGTAAAAATTACTGTGTCACTAAATTATATAGGTCTTCAAAAAGTGTGTCACCAGCATAGAAGTGTTTGGAAAACTCTGAACTAAGGTCTTAGTAGAGGAAACAAAAAGAAAATGTCTGATTTTACCGATGTTCTAAAGAAAAAAAAACCATCATGACTTTACTGCGGAATCCCTGGTGGCGCAGTGGGTTAAACCCCTGTGCCGGCAGGACTGAAGATGACAGCAGGTTCGAATCAGAGGAGAGCGTGGATGAGCTCCCTCTGTCAGTTCCAGCTCATCATGCGGCAACATGAGAGAAGCCTCCCACAAGGATGGTAAAAACATCAAAATATCTGAGCGTCCCCTGGGCAACATCCTTGCAGATGGCCAATTCTCTCACACCAGAAGCGACTTGCAGTTTCTCAAGTCACTCCTGACATGACAAAAAATGATTAAAAATAAAAGAAAGGGTTTCAGCAGGTCTTGGTTGCTATCTGGTTGCATGAGAGGTCACACCTGCTGAAATTCCCTCTTCTACGGGCTGAGTTTGATTCGGGGGGGGGGCTGGAGGTCTGAGTGAAAGAGGGTCTACCCTAGCAAACCTTTTGTATCATTACCCCAATGCATATGGGATATATAGAGCATGGTGATCAGATCATGATATGAATAAACATAACAGTTTAAATAATGTACCAGTAAAGCCTTTTCGCAGACCACCATGAGAATTTGGGGGGGAGGGCTGAAGTCCCCAAAGCCCCCCCCCCCGGCTACATGCCTGCCTGCAGCATACATGGGAACATTATTAACATGTATGTAGTAAAGAAGGATTAAATAAGGTAACATCATGCACTGTAAACACTGGCAAGCACTCATATTAGGTGTGTAGAGAGCCGAAAGAAATTTTTGAAAAGGTGTCACATGTTGAACTTTAGGTCTCCACCTCTCAAGTTTAAGTCTCCACATCTGAGAAGCCTAACAAAATTCCTCTGAATTAACAAAGACTTTTTTGCAGACCACCAGTCTCTTCAAATGAAGCACCAGGATGCTAATATGCATAAGGCCCATGGGTGGTTATCTAACTCTTTCTCCAGAGTTTTTGCCAATAATGTTACCATCTCCCAAAATGGACTCTTTCATAGGTGCCAAGTTTGACCATGCTTAATCTCGATTTTACCTAACGATAGATGAGTTGTATCATTGTGATCACTTATGTGGTCCTTGGTAAACTTCCAACTCACCTTAGGATTCCAGCTGGCGAATGGTCTTTGCCCATCCTCCCCAAAGCCTGTGCTATGCAGTCAGTTCTATCATTTTATGGAGAGCTGGCTATCACCCTTGTATCTGCAAATAACTTCAGAATAGCATAATGTTCAAATCATATGTGCAACAACCATGTGTAGTGAGGGAAACCTGACAATTGAAGCCTTTCCCGTTAGTTCATTATGGGACTTGAAGCCAAATTTCTCATGACTCAAGGCTATCCACATTGCTTCACTGCCAGAACTCTGAACAGCTCTGAAACTCAGCCAGTTTGCCAAGTCTAACAACCCAGTGGCAGATGTTTGCAAGTCCAATGTCCAAGCAGATGATCTGTTTCCTTTTCATAACACAGACTATATTGGAAGGTATTTTTGACCTACAGATCAGAGTTCTGTTCGATTCTCTTAGTCATTGCAGCCTTGGTCACACAAGGTTTATCATTTGGCAACCAAGCCAGACAGCAAATAGCTCACTGTATTTTCTTTGGCGAGCAGCTGTACGGTGTCAATAGCAAACAGAGCTAATGCGAGTCTATTCTGAGTTCTGGCCAAAGTACCTTTCTGAAGAAATACCTTCACAATTGTCATGGAGACCATTCAAAGTCAAAACTAGTGGTGTACAATTTAGAGAGCATGCGAATGATGGCCCATGAGTTGGAAGAGACTTCATGGACCATCCAGTCCAACCTCTGCCAAGAAGCAGGAAAATTGCATTCAAAGCACCCCCGACAAATGGCCATCCAGCCTCTGTTTAAAAGCTTCCAAAGAAGAAGCCTCTACCACACTCTGGGGCAGAGAGTTCCACTGCTGAACAGCTATCACAGTCAGGAAGTTCTTCCCTATGTTCAGATGGAATCTCCTTATTTCAGTGTGGATTGTGTCAAGTATCCTCCGGATTCAACAAAAAAAAAAAAAGACAGAAATCTCAGATGCTGGCTCCTGCTTTCCACTGGTGTTATGGCTCCCCTGAAAAAAGTGTCCTAATTTGGATTAATTACTATGTGTAAACTGGGACTGCACCACCCACACCTATGCTTTATACCAGGGCTTCTAAAACTTGCGACCTCTTTGGCCCAAGAAATTTTTACAGGACCCCAGGTATAGAAGAGAGGTATAGAAATCATTTACTGACATTTTTTTTTTGTCGTGTCAGGAGCAACTTGAGAAACTGCAAGTCGCTTCTGGTGTGAGAGAATTGGCCGTCTGCAAGGACGTTGCCCAGGAGACGCCCAGATTTGATGTTTTTATCATCCTTGTAGGAGGCTTCTCTCATGTCCCCGCATGAGGAGCTGGAGCTGATAGAAGGAGCTCATCCGCCTCCCCCCGGATTCGAACCTGCGACCTGTCGGTCTTCAGTCCTGTCAGCACAGGGGTTTAACCCAATGCACCACCGGGGGCTCCTACATTTACTGATAATAAATCAGCATTTGCAAAGCTTACTAAATAGGCTCATTTTTCTTTTCATGGAAATACAGCTGAAGCATTTTCTTCAGAGTCCACTGTAAACATTGCAAATTGTCATTTGTGTAAACGAGCGACATTCAGAAATCTTTTACTGCTGCTAAATTTTTTGGGACCCCAACACTGAGTGAAGGAAACCCCAATTGGGGGTCAAGACCCACAGTTTAAGAAGCAGTAGTCTCTACTGCCGCCAGACCTGTAGATATTAACACACAGGGCAATGTTTGTATAGGGCTTATGGGTGAAGATTTGAATAGTATTACACTTAATTTTGTGTAAATATCTGCACTATTCAGAACTATAGGGATTGTTTTGTGGTTTTAATAACTGTTTTGATATTTGATGATGTACTGTTTTTAATATGATTTATGTTTAAAGTGTGGTTTTACTGTTGTAGTTGTAAGGCATTGCATTTTTGCTCACTACCTCTGAGGATGCTTGCCATAGATGCAGGCGAAACGTCAGGAGAGAATGCCTCAAGACCATGGACATATAGCCCGAAAAAAACCCTACAATAACCGAACATCAAAACAATATGGCTGAGAAAACAACATAGCTGAGGTTCAAGCACAATTACTGCAATACATCCTGAAGGGAATGCAAGAAAAGTACAACTCATTTTTGCCATTATCTATGTGTAATGAGTCCCCCTCGGGGTGAGAAAAGCGGTATATAAATGCTGTAAATAAATAAATAGGAAACACTCCGAGGGGGAGAGGGAGGGGGTCTGCAGCTCTCCAGATGTAAGGACACAACTTGCACAACAGCTCCCTTTCAAAGCTGGCTTGGCCAGTTGGGAATGGCAATCCATGTAGCAGAGAGCCATGGCGATCCCACGCCTGCCCTACACCCACATCTGCTGACTAAGCGCTGAGGTACATTTGACCCAAACTGGTATTCTATCTTAGCTCAAGTAGATGTAGTTACAATTTGTGTTTTGTACTGCAAACAACTGGGTAACTCTGCCAGGTTTTAGTTTACAAAGATGTTTCAAATTCCATCCAACACCACCTCCTTCCTGCAAACAGTCCTGAATTTATCAAACTGACAAAGTAGGGTTATTGCTCAATTTCAATGCCAGGCTGGAAGTGCCACACTGAATTTTGGCCTTTGTCACCACTCTCCCAACACAGATTTTGAGTGCTGTGCTGTGACCCTCTTGGCTTTAAATTCCTTGGCAGAAAATCAAGAACTGTGTGTCTCCATTCTCTGTGGCATATATGCGTTTTGGAAGGCAACGTATGATCATAGCTCTCCCATATGTCATTCAGTACTTTTTAAAAGGTGGTGCAATGCCTCCCTGGTGGGGATAAGAGGCTTCCTTCTATTCTATACAAGGGTATAGGAAGGGAAGTAGCTTATTGCACTGTAAGCAAACATTCTAGTTCCTTGTTCAGCCACGTCATTAAAAATTCCAAGCAGGAAGTCATTTACATTTTAAAACAGTCTCAGTTGTGTACAAAATGTGAAGAAGCTTTACTCCTTTTGCAGTTGAAGTGCCTTCCTTGCAAAACACTCATTCAGAGAATGTTCCACAAGCAAAACTTTCCTCTTCGGTAGCACCTTTCATGTAGATTCCAGCTACATGGCAGTCTTTAATTCTTTCATTTTCCTTTAGCAATTTCTTCAGTAATTTCCCCCCTCCCATTTCCCATCTCCCAGTAACACATACATATTAGGGAAAGGTAGTAGCCAGTCACAGTGCAAGACCTCGCACAATGTACTGAGCCTTTGTGCAAGAGGAAACAGAATAGGTTGTATGTTGCAGTACCTGTGCAGTGAAATCCTGTATCGTCAGGGAACAAAGAAGTTTATACGCTGGGAGATGGATTTGCAGCCTTGGGCAGAAAAGAGCTTCTCCTCCTTGGGTACAAACACCATCATCCTTGCAACCTCATCCAGTGCCTCTTCAGTGAATGGAAGGCCCCGTGTTAGAAAAGCATCCCGGGCACACAGCCTCACGTGGCGGTATTCCAAGGGCAGGAAGGGTACTAAGAAGTCTATGAGGTTCTCTTCTAGAAGGCTATTTTGAGTATAACCTTCATCTGGAAAAATATATATAACAGTTACAGAATGGATCTCCACAACATTGTACACTTGCTTTCATAGTATCACAGAGTTGGAAGAAACCACAAGAGCCACCCAGTCCAACCACATTCTGCCATTCAGGAACACACCATCCAAGATGGATATTCAACCTCCAAAGATGGCTCCGCCATACTCTGATGCAGCTCATCCTTGATTTCCTGGATGACACCCCTGTCATCTTCTAATACAATGCATTTGGGAGATGACCCAGTGGAAGAGAGTTTATTTATTTGTGAAAACTCACTGGCAAAAGGGCTAAAGAACTGGAGATAAAACCTACAACCCAGAGATACAAGTTCTCTATTAAGAAAGTTTTTAGCTTGTAAACTTTTAATGAACACAATGTGAGAAATGCCAGATATCTAAGCTATGGTTAGAAAAGAAAGATGTACCAGAGATCAAAATGCAAAAATAATATTACCCAATGGAGGGTGCCAAAATGTTTAAAACAAAATCATCCTGTTTTATAGATTAGATTACAGCCTTCAATTGAAGAGACCATGAAAATCTATAGATTGTACTGATGTGTGACTTACATTTTGGACAACAGTTCGGTGTCAGGAAATATACAGGCAGTCCTTGGGCTATGGACAAGATTTTTTTTTTCAGTTTTGGGTAGCATAGGGAAGGGTCAACATCCCTGGAACATGTGCTTGCTGTCTATGACCTAGTTCAGAAGATTTAACCTGACTTTTTCTTTCCCTGTGACAACTGGATTTTGAAAAAACTGGGTTGTCATAGAAACAAGGATTGGTGAGAAACTTCAGTGAAGACGCCTTTTCCCCTTGACAACTCTTGCAGGAATGAATTTTCCTTTCCAGGGGTAGATTTCCCCACATTTCCTATAGTTTCACTCCATTCTTATTTTTTTTATTAATAAACTTTTATTTGAGGAAAAATAGTTATGTAGACATATACTATACATTTCCCTCACTTTTATTTACATTCACCCCTGTGCTCCCCTGTTCACCCCATTCTTAAATATAACTCATACGTAAGTCAAATGTCCGTAACTCGAGGATTGCCCATTAAGGTTTTTAAATCCTTGTGTGTTATTGTTTATTGTTTATATGTGATTTATATTAATTGTATCATATTTATTATTTGTTGTTTATTGCTTTTTTGTTTATTGATGTGTTGTTGGGCTTGGCCTCATGTAAGCCGCTCCAAGTCCCTTGGGGAGATGGTGGCAGGGTATAAATAAAGTTATTATTATTATTATTATTATTATTATTATTATTATTATTATTATTATGGTTTCCTATTGGCAAAAGATTCAACCAAGGCTGCATTTCATCACCCTGTGCAATTTACACGCAGAATTTGTTAAACTCTGAAACTGTAGTTAGTTAAACTCTGAAACGGTAAAATAACAGAATTTCAACATGTCTTTGGAAAAGAAATTGATATATAGGTGCAATACCCCAGAGGCATGGAGGAATGCAAATCCTTATTTCATGGGAAAAGTGGCCTTTCCTACATTTTTTAAAAATACTTCCCCCCAATTCCAAAGAGGATTGCACTGCAAATGACAGTGTTAGGAACAAGCAGCCTCTCACCTGTAGCTCCCATCAGCTCCGTCCGCAAATAGGGCTCTAAGAACTCCAGCGTGATTTCCTCTCGGGCTCTGCCCGCTCGCCAGAAGTCCAGGGCTACTTCATTAATAATATTTCCCCCTGTGTTACTGAGTGCAAGGAAATAACATTAACATCAGCAGAAATCAATGGTCCCATAATATTATTATGCATTGCAGCACACCCAAATACCTGGGAGTCACTCTGGACTGTGCTCTGACCTACAAGAAGCACTGCCTGAACATCAAGCAAAAAGTGGGTGCTAGAAACAATATCATACGAAAGCTGACCAAACTTGGCAAGAATACTCAATATGCCCAAAAGTGAACACTGGTGGAGTTTGAGGAAAATAAACCTTGACATTTGGGAGTTATAGTTGCTGGGATTTATAGTTCACCTACAATCAAAGAGCATTCTGAACCCCACCAATGATAGAATTGGGCCAAACTTCCCATACAGAATCCCCATGACCAACAAAAAATACTGTGCTTTGATGGCCTTTGGTGACCTCTCTGGCACCCTCTTACGGGTCGACCCCCAGGTTGAGAAATACTGTACTAACAGAATACCTAGACTATTTCACATTGACAAAATGTGACATGTAAGATATGGCAGGCCTCCTAGAACACACTAAAGTCAGTCAGTCACACATATTGGAGACTGGGCAGTGCTGTTATCTCTATACTAGTTGAGGTTAACTTGTTGCCCTCCAGATATAGTTCGACTAGAGCTCCATTCACTCTTGACCACTTCCTATTCTGGCGAGGTCTGAAGGAAATTATAGTTCAACAAACTCCAGAGTAACACCATCTCGGAAGGCCATTAACCAAGAAGTGATTGATTTTCTTAAGCCTCAGCCATGCAGTTTATAGGTGGCACACATCCAAAGCACTTGCAAAGCCAACACAAGAAAAGTTGGCATGAATCCTACTAGTTTCAAAGGGCACGTGGATGAGATATGTTGAAACAAGCCCATTTGTTTTTCACATCCGGGAACAGCTATCAAAAGTTCTTCCAATTTCAGAGAAGGTAGGCAAGGATTTGAGTGCAATTCATAATATGTGGCCTTCGAAGGATTCAAGAACAAATTTCAGAAAGGAAACGTATTTTCATTGGGTTATAGCTCTTCTCCTTCCGTCTGAAACAAAGTTAGTTCTATCTTTTCCCTTGCATTCCTGCTATTACGCCTATTAACGATTTCCAAATGGGAATCATCTTCCAGAAAGGGTTGTTGGACATATATGCTTGCAGAAGCCCTGGATACATCATTAGATTTGTGCTGACTATTCATCCTTTAGAAAGATAACCCTTCCATCCCCCCCCCTTTTTTTTTTTTGCTACTATATTTATTTACTGTATTTGTATACTGCACCTCTCAGCCTTCTGAAGAGTCGAGGCAATTTACAAGGCAAAATTCAATGCCACAAAAGCACAAGTACAATTTAAAAATGTTAACATAAATAAAATCATAACCTCAATAAAACATAAGTTGATAAATCCTCATTAAAACATTGTCTAGTCCCATCATATAGTTGTTACGTTTTCCTATGTCCGTTATGCAATATTTGCAAATGCTTGCTCGAACAGCCACATCTTGAGTTTTTTCTGAAATGTTAGGAGCGAAGAAGTCGATCTAATCTCTTTAGGGAGGGCGTTCTACAGCCGAGGGGCCTCCGCTGAAAAGGCCCTGTCTCTCATCCCCACCAGACGTACTTGTGACGAAGGCAGGACCAAGAGCAGGGCCTCCCCAGACAATTTTAAAGTCCTTGATGGTTCATGAGGGGAGATGCGTTCAGACAGGTCAGTTGGGCCAGAACCGTTTAGGGCAGCGTTTCTCAACCTGGGGGTCGGGACCCCTGGGGGGGTCGCGAGGGGGTGTCAGAAGGGTCACCAAAGACCACCAGAAAACATAATATTTTCTGTTGATCATGGGGGTTCTGTGTGGGAAGTTCAGCCCAATTCTATTGTTGGTGGGGTTCAGAGTGCTCTTTGATTGTAGGTGAACTATAAATCCCAGTAATTACAATTCCCAAATGTCAAGGTCTATTTTCAACAAATTCCACCAGTGTTCACATTTGGGCATATTGAATATCCATGCGGTCCAAATCCATCATTTGTTTGAGTCCACAGTGTGGTCCAAATCCATCATTGTTTGAGTCCACAGCGCTCTCTGGATGTAGGTGAACTACAAGTCCAAAACTCAAGGACAACGGCCCCCAAACCCTTCTAGTATTTTCTGGTGGTCATGGGAGCCCTGTGTGCCAAGTTTGGTTCAATTCCATCACTGGTGGAGTTCAAAATGCTCTTTGATTGTAGATGAACTATACATCCCTATACATCCCAAATGACAAAATCAATCCTCCACTAACCCTACCAGTATTCAAATTTGGGTGATCGGGTATTTGTGCCAGATTTGGTCCAGTGAATGACAATACATCCTGCATATCAGATATTTACATTACAATTCATAACAGTAGCAAACTTACAGTTACGAAGTAGCAACAAAAATAATTTTATGGTTGGGGGTCACCACAACATGAGGAATTGTATTAAAGGGTCACAGCATTGTGAAGGTTGAGAACCACTGGTTTAGGGCTTTTTAGGCCAAAGTTGGGGGGTGGGGGGGGGGGGCTATCATGTGGTCTTCCTTGTTTCCCACTACCTTTAACCTTAACAAGTTCCTCACCTCAGGAATAAGAAGATAGATCGCCGGTAATTCACCATATCAATACTGTCATAATGATCCACGTAGGGTTTCAGAGCCTCAAGGAGGCCAGAATGAAGCTTCTCCGCCTCATCAAAGATGAAAAGGGACTGCTCACAGCCTTGCACTGTCTCACTGATCTCTCTTGCTAGCTGGACCTGAATGGGCACAAGAAAGTGGTGTGAGCTGCACAGCAGAACACTAATTTAATACTAGCATATATACCCAGTGTTGCTCAGATATGCACTTATTAGAAATACTCATTGTTAGCAGACAGACAAACTGTCATCCTATATACCAACCACAGGAAGAGAAGGGAAGGAAGTGGGATGTCCCCTTGGCTGTGATTGTGGTTGCTATTGTGCCTGCTCTTTCGGCACTCTGACTGGGCTGAGCAGCAGCCTCAGGGCCCTTCCACACAGCCCTATGTCCCAGAATATCAAGGCAGAGAATCCCACAATATCTGCTTTGAACTGGGTTATCTGAGTCCACACTGCCATGTATTCCAGTTCAAAGCAGATAATGTGGGATTTTTTTTCAGCTTTTTCAGTTTTTGTGATTAGGTCCCTGGTCCTGAAAAGGGTGCTTTTTAAAATTTAACCCCTCAGTATTTTAATTAGGATTATTTATTTATTTTGTATCAAAAGCATTGCATAAATTAGTATAAAACTGATAAAAAATAGAAGGGAGCACAGGTGGCTAAATATCTTTTGACCAAAAATGGGCAACAGCAACGGCATTGTCTGTAGCCTCCAACAATTCTTCCTCTATACATGAGGCAGGGCATAGTGGACAAGCATACAGATGCGGAGTTGTCTGTTCTGCTTCGCAGTCAGACAAGGTGTGGGATTCGTTTAGGTAGTACCATTTTGCCATGTTGTCTTTTGATCTGCCCACTCCACTTCTGAGTCTGTTTGGTGACTTCCAGGTTGCCCATTCTTGGTTTGCCCCTGGAGGAAGACCCTCATGGGGGCCATCCAGTTTAGCTGACCAGAGGGATACCCTTGCTGTTGCTGGGGGGATGCCAAGAGGAGTGGTAGTTCTCATAAAGCTTTTCCTTGATTTGAGTCTACTGGAAGGGGGCTGGTAGCCATGTAGTGGGTGGCTTTCAGTGTTCAACCTTATTTCTCTCACATTTAGCAGCAACTTCCTGTCACACTTTTTTTTTTGGAGGGGGGGGGCAATGCCAGCTAGCTTGTAGAGTTTACCAACAGGTGTAGGTTTAAGACATACTGTGTTTATTCTGCATATTTCATTCAACACTATGTTCACCTGCTTTGCATGGGAAGACTTATGCCGAACAGGGCAGTTGAGTAAGACAAGGCCAGGGCTGATGTTCTTATTAATTTTGGGTCTGCAGCCCATGTGCTGCCAGTAGGTTTTCCCAGGATGTTATTGCGTGCAGCTATTTTGTGCTTGGTGTTCAAGTAGTGTTTCTTATATGCTAGTGTTCGATCTAAGGTGACACCAAGATATTTAGGATGGAAACAATGTTCAAGCTCTTAACCTTCCTAGGTCAATTAGGATAATGAAAGGTCTGTGTATCAAGTTTGGTCCACACGCATCAAGCCAAGCAGAAGCCTTTCAGGTACATACACAGATATTTTCACTTTTATATACAGGCAGTCCCCAAGTTATATGTGACTTAGGTCCCTTCCACTCAGCTGAATAAAATCCCACATTATCTGCTTCGAATTGGAATATATGGCTGTGTAGACTCAGATAACCCAGTTCAAAGCAGATATTGTGGGATTTTCTGCCTTGATATTCAGGGTTATATGGCTGTGTGGAAAGGCTCTATCACACAACTTCTAGTTATAAACGGGGATGAGGCAATAAATGGTGATAGGAAATCTACCGCTAAAAAGCGAAATTCACTCCTGGAAGAATCATCATGGGGAAAATGTGTCTCCGCTTAAGCTTTTTCGCCAATCCTTGTTTCCACAATAACCCAAAATGTTCAAAATCCAATTGTCACAGGGACAGAAAGTGAGGAAAAATCTTCTGAACAGGGACAGAGCCAGTGAAACAAATGCTACAGGGGTGTTAACCCTTCCCTATGCTATCCGACACTGGACAAAATGGGGCTGGAGTTACACTTTAAAATGTACCTGTTCCAACGTACATACAAATTCAACTTAAGAACAAACCTACAGAACATTAACCTGGGAAATGCCTGTATATAGATTTTGATATTCCATCTTGTGGGGAATAATTCTACAATTCTCACAAAATAGTTTGCAACAATTAAAAACTGCAACGCTTTACAAAAAATGCTTTTTTAAAAAACTGTCAAATTAAACAACCAAGGCAAGCAAACAATTCAGTTGTTAATCTCAACTAGAGTAGACCCACTGGCAGAATCAGCAGCTGAAAGGTAAAGTCATGCCTAAGAAAATTCTAAAATTAAAAGTCTGGCTGAGAGTAGTAACTGGATTGATATTTAAAACACAAAAAGGAATAGTCAACTTCTGCCATAGTCCTATGACTAATAAAACGTTATGAATAGAGGAGCAAAGATGGCAGTTCAGACCAACAAAGGCCAAAACAATAAAGCCACACCAGGGATCCCCTTCCATATCATACTCGGCCTACCTGTTATCCTCTTCTGAAACTATTTTTCTCACCTTGTATATGTCCACATATTTGGTATGAGGGAAGTGAAACTGAGAAATGAAGACTCTGACACAGTCACTCTTCAGGCCATCCCGGTACAAATGTTCTGCTATCATTCGAGCCACAAAGTTCTTCCCCGTGCCAGACCAGCCATGGAAGGAAAGAGTCAGTGCTTTCTCTGGATCTGGTGTCTCCAGGAAGCCCTGAACAGCCTTCAGGACAACATGTTTCACAAGATGTTGACCATGGAGTCGACGGCTCAAATCCAGCTCCAGCCCTAAAAGGGAAAAAAGGGGGAGGAGGTCCTTTTCATGTCATTTTGGGGTTGCCAAAGGTGCCCTTATTAAACAGTCATCCCCTAAGATGAAGGTCCTATTTACTTTTAATCCAGAGAAATATTAAGTAAGACAAAAGCTTGAAAAACATATTTTTGACCACAATTACCAGAATACTCATGCTGAGATATTTAATAGTTGTTCTTTTTCTCCTGCCCCCTCAAAACCATTCCCAAACTTAGAATGAGATTAATACGGTGTAACCACCCAATTATTTGCTAAAGTCAACACACCTAGGTACAAATATGGAAGCATAGAAAGCAGAAGCTCATCATTTGTGATTATGCTCGAAGGACTAATTCAGCTAAGGAAAGGGTTACTGATAGAACAAAGGATCCACATCAATTTTTGTAGAATATTTAACAGAGATATAGAGCCTTTTGGTATCCTAGCTTATCTGAACTGGGATATTTAATCATTACCACCTATAAAGGATCCAATTTTCAGAATTTGCAGACTGTTGGGGATGGAAATGGATCCAGGATGCAAGTGGTAATCTTTACAGCCACAGACTCGTACCTAATATTATTGTTGCCTGCCATAGTATTGCACTTAATTCCTAGGGCCCCTGGAATTTTTGGGCTTGCACAAATCTTGGCCCGGCCTTTTAAATTGTTAAATTGCCTTGAACAGGCAGGGTTACTTTTCATATATGTGTGCTATGGCGACAATTTTTATGCTTATATTTTGTTTTGTCAATCTTATGGTTATCTTATTTTTTACTTTGTATGTTTTCTGATGTTACCTGAGAACCGCTCTGTCCCCTCGGGGAGATGGAGCAGTATATAAATAAAGTTATTATTATTATTATTATTATTATTATTATTATTATTTATTACAGTTACTTACACTGTGTCTCATTACTGAAGTGAGATAGAACCTTTGAAATACTACCAGAACTTTGCACAAGTCAAGAACTGCTTGAGGAGAGCATTGATTTTTGAGACTTGGGTTCACATTCCTGATCCACCATGGAAACATGTTAGGTATCCTTGGGCAAATCACACACTCTCAACCTGAAGAAGGCAAAAGCAAACCCCCTCTGAACAAATCTTGCCAAGAAAATCCCGTGGTAAGGTCCCCATAAGCAGGAAATGGCTGGAATACACACAGCGATGATATATAGAGTCCCACAGGTTCAAATAAACAAGACAATGTTGAGCTCAACACTTCAAGCACCTCCGAATCAAACAGGAGTGATTCTTAAGCCCTGGCCAGGTAGTTCAGATTAACAAAAGGGAAGAGAATTAAACTGCAATGTGTGGGACTGAGAAGAGGCTGAACTTCCAAGGAAAGAGAACTTGCTTCAGTGATCTGATTGTGTAACAGAAGAGTTCTGCACCATAAGGAATGCAATGGTAGTACAAAACCAAATACTTTCAAAGGGGAAAAATATTCTGAAAGAAAACATGTACTGCAGCATATACACAGATGTGTTAAAATCCTTCTAAGGGAGTAGAAGGTTGTGCCGACTTGAAGAAACAAGTCTTTACCTGTTATATTATTGGTCACTCTGCAATCTCCTGTTGCGCAGCACTTGCCAAGCCTGCAGTACCAACTGGAGACCATCTCAGTTACCATGGGCCAATTCCATCCTAGAAGAGAGTTGAACCAGATTTTTAAAAGGCAGAAGTGCACAATTTCTATAGCCATGGCCTAAGAAGTTCATACTCCTCACTATTGCATCCATCCTTAAAACAGACTTGCAGAATTAACTTACTGAAGGACTGAGTCATTAATTTACCAGTTAATTCACTCTGAAGCAGCTCTGACTTGGGGGCAGAGAGATCTGTATTCTTATCTTTTAAACTAGGTTCAATAGGACTTGTTATCAGAAGAGCATTTCAGAATAACAGGACATTAATATGTCTACAAATTAGGGGTGCATCTAACACTGTAGCATTAATGCAGTTTGGCACCACTTTAACTGTCTTGGCTCAATGCTATGGAATCATGGGAGCTGTAGTTTTACAAGGTATTTAGCCTTCTTTGCCAAAGAGTGCTGGTGTCTCACTAAACCACAAACCCCAGAATTCCACAGCATTGGATCATAGCAGTTAAAGTGGTGTCAAACTGCAAGAATTCTTCAGTGTAGATGAAGAATTCTTGTGAGAGTTTTGTCTGGAAAAGAGCCGCTATGGCGCTTGTTGCTCAGTTAACTTCACAAAATTTGGTGAAGCAGTAGCAGCATCTGGGCACAGAGATGGCATAAAGAACATCCACACATTTCATAAAACAAAAGGAACGTGTTTCACTTTGCCCTCAGATTAGAGCTTTCCAGATTGTGAGTTGTGATACATTAGTGTATCGGCTCCAGTGTTTGGGTATGTCACGTGAATGTAACAAAAAATGACAAAAATCTTGAAAATATATATTATAGTTTACAAATCATTCACACACACACACACATATATTATATTACTGAAAAGTTTTCATGAGATATGTTATTTCTCCATACATTTTATTATTGTGTATGTTGTTGCTGACTTTATCTCAATCTTGCCTTTCTCCCCATAGGGACTCATGGTGGCTAACAAATACAGGCAGTCCCCAAGTTACGAACAAGATGGGTTCTGCAGGCTTGTTCTTAAGTTAAATTTCTTTGCAAGTCAGAACAGGTACATTTTTAAAGTGTAACTCCAGTCAGATGTATATCTTTTTAGCTTTGGACAGCACGTCCACTTTGCCAGTAAAACTGAATGATTGTACCGTGAAATGATGAATGTCTAAAAATAAAATGTTTGGAAAGCTCTGCCTTAGACTGTGAACCTTTATTCATAAATGTCACTCATACCTGTCACTCCATCTTATCACATTGAGAAATTTCCCAGTCATAGGATACATCAGCTTCTATGAAGAGGCACTGAGCCTATCATGTGAATTAAACTACTTCCAGCCGTGGTTGAAAAGAGGCAGAAGTATCCTGAAATTTCTCATCACATTGAGAAATCTCCCCCTCCAAGGTCACTTCAGCCTCTTTTCGACCATCACATGTTCCAAGATTGAAAAAAGGTAGAAATGCCCTGAAATGAGGGAACTCAGGTCAGCAATTGTATTGAGCTCCTACCTCTTATTGCACTTTACTTCAATGTTTACAACTGAAAAACAGGTGGGATGGGAGTCATCAAAGTTTTCTGTCCTGTTTTAATGCCCAACCATCAGCAGTCTTGTGCAGCCTATGAGGTTTGATGCATAACCATAGGATCCCATGGAAAGAAGTGTTTGGGTATGCCATGTGAATGTAACAAAAAATGACAAAAACTGGTGTCAGACTCCTTTAATGTAAGGGGCTTTGGACAGAGCAGGAGATCTCTTGGTTTTTGGATATTGTTGCTTCTCTTGATTAAAAAAAATAGTAATACAGATCTTGTGATTTTTGTGTGTGTCAGGAGTGACTTGGGAAACTGCATGGGAAGTTAGAGCTGAGAGCTCCTCACTCCAAACCGCTGACCTTTCGGTCAGCAGTCCTGCTGGCATAATGGTTTAACCCACTGCACCACCGGGGGGGGGGGGGGGGGGGGAATCCAGATCTTGTGACGAATGTAAAAGATGACTGTATTACCCACTCTTAGGTAGGTATGATAGGGAGGCAGAACTCCATACATTACTGCTGACTATAGAAGAGGGGCGATTCTCTACTCTTAAGGGGACTGTCACCCATGCTTTCCCTTCTCAATGTGATGAGGTGGACTGCGCATACATTGGAGGCAGATTACGACTAGGTTCCCTACAGGCATGGGCAAACTTCGGCCCTCCAGTTGTTTTGGACTTCAACTCCCACAATTCCTAACAGTGTTGGGAATTGAAGTCCAAAACACCTGGATGGCCAAAGTTTGCTCATGCCTGCTACACTATTATTCTTACGTATAATTTTCTTACTGCGACCATACCTCATGAAGTCTGACTTGACCATGGTGGGCCATGTCTTAGTTACCTCTAGACTGGACTACTGCAGTGCACTCTATGTGGGGGTTCCCTTGAAGACGGCCTGGAAATTACAGGGAGCGGTCAACCCTCCTGTTTAAGGAGCTTCACTGGCAACCATTTATTTTCCAGTCCCAATTCAAGGTGCAGGTTATCACCTATAAAGCCCTAAACGGTTTGGGACCCGCCTACCTTTGTGACCGTGTGCTTTTGCCATTGAGACCTACTTTTCGAGTGGATTTGGAGTGACGGGCCCACTTTTTTTCTATGGGTTTTTTTAAAATCCCGTGTCTATGTGAACCGTCCAAGGACCCTACAAGATTTGAAGACCAATATCCAGGAAGAAATTGCTAACATAATGCCTGCTATGCGGGCAAGAGTCATGACAAACGCCAGAAATCGGTTTACTCAGTGAATGGAGAATGGGCGACGTCACCTACCTAATTTGATCTTCAGAACTACGTAAAACAAAACTTTAGATATGTGCCTACATTATTTAAAAATATTTTTTTCTGATTCATTGTTGTTGTTCACTCGTTCAGTTGTTTCCAGCACTTCGTGACTTTATGGACCAGACCACGCCAGAGCTCCCTGTCGGCCGTGGCCACTCCCAGCTCCTTCAAGGTCAATCCAGTCACTTCAAGGATACCACCATCCATCTTGCCCTTGGTCGGCCCCTCTTCCTTTTTCCTTCCATTTTCCCCAGAATCATAGTCTTCTCTAAACTTTCCTTTCTTCTCATGATGCAGCCAAAGTACTTCATCTTTACCTCTACTATCTTTCCCTTCAATGAGCAGTCGGGCTTTATTTCTTGAAATATGGACTGGTTCGTACAATGGGTTTTATTAAGTTTTGAAAAAAGGAAGTTATGCTGCCTCACCCTGTATATATGTGGTTTTGTGCTTGTATTGTAATGCATTTTTAAATTTTCTTTTGGCTTTTTAAGTCCCTTCTGCTGTGCTTTTTGGTGTTTTTATGAGTGATGGTCACTCGTTGGTCAGTTAGGGGTCTTGTGTCCAAATTTGGTGTCAATTCTCCCAGTGGTTTTTGAGTTATGTTAATCCCACAAACGAACATGACGTTTTTTTTATATAGATGCTGCTGGGCTTGGCCTCATGTAAGACACCCCGAGTCCCCGTTGGGGAGATGGTGGCTGGGTATAAATAAAGTCGTCATTATTATTATTATTACTAGCTGTCCCCTGCCACGCATTGTTGTGGCCCAGTCTGTTGATCTGGAAAATAAAGTAATGAGAAAGTGTTGGTTTCTAATATGTGTAATGTCTTTATGTCTGTGGGTAAACAGTATTTCTTGCTGTTTCTTTGTCAGTGTTGATGTGGAGAGTGTCTGGTTTGCCCACCCTGGAACATACAACGTATCATTGTCCTTCTTTAAGGGTCCCTTTCAAATCTATGATACTATACCTGTGTGTGTGTGAATCATCTCTCTCTCTCTCTCTCTCTCTATGGCTGGATGGCTCTTTGTCAGGAGGACTTTGATTATGTTTTCTTGCCCTGATGAAGGGAGTTGGACTGGATGGCCTTAAGTATTTTCTGTTGGTCATGGGCGTTCTGTGTGGGAAGTTTGCCCCGATTCTGTCCTTCGTGGGGTTCAGAGTGCTCTTTGATTGTAGGTGAACTGTGAATCCCAGTGACTACAACTCCCAAATGTCAAGGTCTATTTCCCCCAAACTCCATCTGTGTTCATATTTGGGTGTATTGAGTGCTTCTGCCAAGTTTGTTCCAGGTCCATCATTGTTTGAGTCCACAGTGCTCTCTGAATGTAAGTGAACTACAACTCCCAAACTCAGGGTCAATGCCCACCAAACACTTCCAGTATTTTCTGTCGGTCATGGGAGAACTGTGTGCCAAGTTTGGTTCAATTCCATCGTTGATGGAGTTCAGAATGCTCTTTGATTGTAGGTGAACTATAAATCCCAGAAACTACAACTCCCAAATAACAAATTCATAATTTTTTGAGTGATGGTCACTCCTTGTGTTGTGAGATGTTTTGTTGCCAAATTTTCTGTGATTTCGTTCATTGGTTCTTTTGTTCTTAAGGTACTCATTATGCACAGAACATTTATATATATAGATAGATTATTATTATTGTTGAAGGCTTTCATGGCTGGAATCACTAGGTTCTTGTGGGTTTTTTCGGGCTATAGGGCCATGTTCTAGAGGCATTTTTCTCCTGACGTTTCGCCTGCATCTATGGCAAGCATCCTCAGAGGTAGTGAGGTCTGTTGGAGTTAGGAAAATGGATTTATATATCTGTGGAATGACTGGGGTGGGGCAAAGAGCTCTTCTCTGCTGGAGCTAGGTGTGAATGTTTCAACTGACCACCTTCATTAGCATTTGAAAGCCTGGCTGAGCCTGGGGGAATCTTTTGTTGAGAGGTGATTAGATGTCCTTGTTTGTTTCCTCTCTGTTGTTGTGCTGTTTTAATTTTAGAGGTTTTTTTTAATACTGGTAGCCAGATTTTGTTCATTTTCATGGTTTCCTCCTTTCTATTGAAATTGTCCACATGCTTGTGGATTTCAGTGGCTTCTCTGTGTAGTCTGACATGGTGGTTGTTGGAGTGGGTATTATAATAATAATAATAATAATTATTATTATTATTAATAATAATAATATGGCACATACATGAAATCTTGTAAGAACCTCCACAAAAGGAGGGGGAACCTTACCTTGCTGTTCCAGGATGACCTTGGCGCCCTCTTCTTCTTCTTCCTCCTCCTCCTGCTGCTTCTGCTCTCTTGCAGCCAGGGCCTCCTCCTTCTCCTCCTCCTCCTGCTCCCCTTCTTCTTCCCCCTGCTGCCCCTCTTCCTCGCAGTCCCTCTGCCAGACCTGGCAGGCCAAGAGGCGCCAGTACCTCTTGGAGAGGGCCGTGACGTCGCCCAGGTGCCGCCCCAGTTTCTCGTAGGGCCCGGGCAGGGCCTCCTCTCTGCGCTGCCGGACCTGGCCAAAGGGGAAGACGAGGCAAGCCGAGTGGAAGAGCAGCAGCAGCAACAGCACCAGCCGGCACGCCATGGAGGGAGGCGGGGAAGGGAAGCAGCCTTCCTGGGGCGCTCTCCATGCCCGGCCCCGGCGCTTAAAGGCCTCCTCTGGCCTTGCCAGCTCCTCCTTCTCCTCACGCAGCGCGCGCAGGAGGCGGAGACGGAAGTGGCGCTGATTGGACCACGGCGTAACCATGGAGACGGGCAGCGTCGTCGGCCTGCCTTCTCGCCTCTCACCCAGGGCCCTTCCACACAGCCTAATATCCCAGAATACAAAGGCAGGAAATCCCACATTATCTGAGTGATAATGCAGATATTGTGGTATTACACAATGCCTTGACATTCTGGGATATAAGGGCCGTGTGGAAGGGCCCTTAGAGGCCCAGAAATGTTTGAGGCCTCTTCCACACAGCTGAATAAAATCCACATGGAGTAAATGGCCTCAGGCCTCTTCCACACAGCTGAATAAAATCTCACATTTTCTGCTTTGAACTGGAATATATGGCAGTGTGGACTCAATGCACTTCCACACAGCCATATAACCAAGTATATCAAGGTAGATAATCCACAATATCCGCTTTAAACTAGATTAAACAGTTCCGGTCCGGCTTATCTATCAGAACGTATCTTTCCTTATGAACCACCTAGGACATTAAGGTAGCCAGGAAATCAGAAGACGCTTACTTCTTGGGAGGAGAGCAATGTCCAATCTTGATAAAATAGTGAAGAGTAGAGACATCAGACTGGCAACAAAGATCCGCCTAGTCAAAGCCATGGTATTCCCTGTAGTAACCTACGGATGTGAGAGCTGGACCTTAGGGAAGGCTGAGCGAAGGAAGATCGATGCTTTTGAGCTGTGGTGTTGGAGGAAAGTGCTGAGAGTGCCTTGGACTGCGAGAAGATCCAACCAGTCCATCCTCCAGGAAATGAAGCCCGACTGCTCACTGGAGGGAAAGATACTAGAGACAAAGTTGAAGTACTTTGGCCACATCATGAGGAGACAGGAAAGCCTAGAGAAGACAATTATGCTGGGGAAAGTGGAAGGCAAAAGGAAGAGGGGCCGACCAAGGGCAAGATGGATGAATCGCATCCTTGAAGTGACTGGACTGACCTTGAGGGAGCTGGGGGTGGTAACGGCCGACAGGGAGCTCTGGCGTAGGCTGGTCCATGAGGTCACGAAGAGTCGGAGACGACTGAACGAATGAACAACAAAGGACATTAAGATCTTCTGGGGAAGGCCCTGCTCTCGATCCCGCCTTCCTTGTAGATACGTTTGCCGGGGACGAGAGACAGGGCCTTCTCAGTGGTGGCCCCTCGTCTGTGGAACACCCTCCCAAGGGATATAAGGTCAGCTCCCTCCCTTCTAACATTCGACAAAATGGTTAAGACCTGGCTCTTTGAGCAAGCTTTTTCCACCTGAGCATAATTAGACGTAAATAAATATATGGAATGACTGACGATGCAACTGAACAACAATTTTAGTAAGGAGACCCCGAGGATCTTGTTTTTACAGATATATTTGTTTTTATAATACATTTTAAATGTTGAATTGTTTTTATAATTGTTTCAATCGTATTTGATATTTGTTATGGCATCAAATCGCTGCCGACTGTGAACTGCCTTGTGTCGCCTCTGGCTGAGAAATGCGGTATACAAATGCAGTAAACAAATAAATATAACCCAGTTCAAAGCGGATAATGTGGGATTTTATTCACCTGTGTGGAAGGGGCCTCAAATAATCCAGTTCAAAGCCGATATTGTGGATTATCTGCTTTGATATTCTGGGTTATGTGGTGGTGTGGAAGGGCCCTGAGAGTTCAGAATTTACCTTATATAGAAATATCTTGGAGATGGGGCCCAAGTCAGAACATTAAATCCAATGTATGTGCCACCTCCACCATGGAGCCCCCAGTGGCGCAGTGGGTTAAACCCCTGTGCCAGTAGGACTGAAGACCAACAGGTCACAGGTTCGAATCCGGGGAGAGGCAGATGAGCTCCCTCTATCAGCTCCAGTTCCTCATACGGGGACGTGAGAGAAGCCTCCCACAAGGATGATAAAACATCAAATCATCCAGACGTCCCCTGGGCAACGTCCTTGCAGACGGCCAGTTCTCTCACACCAGAAGCAACTTGCAGTTTCTCAGGTCGCTCCTGACAAGACAAAAAAAAAACCCTCCACCATATAGAATAGAATAGCTTTATTGAAATTCAATGCCTTCCCCAGCACACACCCCAAAAGCAACGCACCCATCCCTCCACACTCGCACCACCACCACCGCACAGCCCCCAATGCCACATCAATACGAAACCATGGAGTTCAATATACTGGTAGTTACAGCTCTAGAATAAAAGCTATCTCTCGGGCCCTTTCACACAGTCATATAACCAGTCCACAATTTCACTTGATCACTTGGTGGTTTGAATTTGCCATTATTTTGACACATAAATGGCTCTCACATGTCAAATAAATTTTTATTTATTTTTCTTTTTATTACTATTATATTATATGTAAACTTGTCTGGTAGGGCAATAGCTCATATTTTATTGAACCAGTTCTTTATTGATAAATTATTTAATTTTTTTCAAGGTTTGATCATTATAAGCATCGCAGCACATCACATAAACAATATGAGATCTTTATTTGACAACTCTTTATTCTCATTCTCAAATAAAGAAATAACAATCCCAGAACTTTTGAACATGTTTTAGCCACATGCAGCCCCAAACTCAAAGAGGTGGGAAATCGAAGATGTTAATCGCAGTATATATCTCGGTATGCAGTGGCATAGCAGGTTTGTGCGATGTTCTATGTCTTTTCTTATAGTAGCTTTGTGTGGAAGTCAAATTCTTGCTGGAGGTCATGCACATGACTTCTTTTTTGTACATCTCTTGTGGAAAATGGGTGTTGGGAAGAGCCCTGCTGCCCCCTGGTTGCAGTGTGCAGGTTTTTTTTTTTTTTTTTTGAAATCACTTCTTTCCTGGCACACGGGAATAAAGCAAATACAACTTTAGAAACAGAGAAGACTGCATCCAATTTAATTTTGGATAATCAGGATGCAGCAACGAAACATATCCATGAACAGGCCAGGAAAAAATTAGCAACTGGCCTAAGTTTTGTGGATTTTTATTTGTTCAGAATGATGTCTGTCTCCTTCTGAGGCTGAGAGAATGTGACTTGCCCCTAAGTGACCCAGTGTATTTCCATGGCTGAATGAGGATTTGAACCCTGGTCATCAGAGTTGCAATCTTATGTTCAAGCCACAACACTAAACTTGTTTTCACAGAAATTATACTCTCTACAATAAGGAGATAGTAATTGTAAACTACGTTTCGAAGGCAGTCTGTGTTTATAATAACAGTCAAAATATGTATCTCTGTATGTATGCATTTTCAAGAATGGCTCCCACATCCAGACTGCTGTGTGAATCCCACTGATAAATGTGGACCAAACATAGCACATATACCTATCATGATCAACTTAAAATACTGGCAGAGTTGGGGTTTTGTGGGGGGGGGGGGGATGACAGAAGATGATAAGACTTGCAGTCAACAATATCACCAGACAGATATTCCGGGATAATGCGATTTGCAACTAGGGAGATCTGAAATTGATAAGAGTTGCAGCCTGACCAGGTCTTGTGTTGATGGAAATTGAACTCCATGCTCTGTACAATTTTATAAATGGTCCCACTATGCATTTATGCATTTTTCTAATGGGGACATTCATAAAATCCAAAACCAAACAATGACTATTTCTAATGAATAGTGTAAAGGGGGTTAAGGACCGAGGGGTCCATTAACTACGTGTGACGGGGGGGGGGGGGACCTTCCTTTTCAATCCCACCGCTGCCACCACTGTAAAGGGGGTTAAGAGATCAGGGTCTCTTATTGCTCCTGTGTGACAGGAATATGCGAGGGTGTTACAAGTGATGAGAGAGAAAGGTGTGTGTATATGGTAGGTTTGCTGCCACCACCTCAAATCATTGCTTGAGGAATTGTCTAGTAGTTGTAGCTGAGGTAAAAAGTCCTTATACACCGGTTCCTCTTTTTTGGCTCCCTTTCTCTTGTGACTGGACTGCAGAGATGTAGAGGCTTACTGTATCTGGCTTTATATGACAAAACAAGGCTGAGGCAGATTAAAAGTGAACTAGAGAACAGGTTTATTGAAATGTTTGAAATAGACAACTCATTACTGAGTGGTACACATGCGTAGTTAGTTTCTGAGGCACAGACTTATAAAATAAATGGTTGCTTAAGAAAGACTAACTTTTCTTTGACGTGAGTTACTTTCCTCACACTATTCTATAACAAGTAACAGTGTGTTTCTCAGACCAGCCGCCCTGGCTGCCTGCGACAGTAACTAGGTTCCTTCTAGACTACTCTGCACTGTAGGGAAATAAACCCACATGTATTCTCTCCAAATACAAGTCAACAAGCCTTCTCTTTCACTGTCAAAGCCAAAGTACCCTGAAGCACTTGCCCTCTATTATTCCCTCCCAGTCTAATTCTAACTCACTCAGAAACTCTCTTCTCCCTGCCTGAAAATCCTAATCCTATCTCTTTCAGATCAAATCCCTCTTCTCCCTTTTAGATCAAAACCATCTCTCTTCTAGATCAAATGATTATTCTCTCTCTCTGGCAGAAAGTACAGCCTTTTTTACACACTCCTTCAACTCCTCCCCTAGGGGTTTGAGCCAATCAGGAGTTAGCTGACTCCTCCCCTTGCCTCTCTGCCTTACCAAAATGTCAGCTATTCTGAGCTACCCTCCCAACATGGAGGCCTGCTCACTGACTCCCAGGCTGCGGCCTACGAAGCAAAGGTATGAGTTCACTACAAATAGCATTACAAAATATGTAAACTTGCACCGCTGAGTACCTAAGCTAGTTAAAAATAAATATACTCTTCCTTGAAAACAAGAATTGGATGAGGAAGAGCATGATCTCTTGATTATGGATTTTGTTTTGTTTACTTTCAGGGTTAAAGCAGCAACTTATGCTGAAAGGATCTTTGAGTGAAATTAGCAATAGCTAAGCAAGAGGCTTTGAATGAAATTAGCAACAAAGGAGAAATGTACCCCTTCTCTGTAGAAAAGGAACACCACGAAAGAAAATGTTTTAAAAACAAGAGGTGACATGTAGAGGTCATA